ATACTTCAAACACTGAACACATGTTGGCTGCAGCAGACGTCAGCTGTGGTCCAAAGCATCTGAAGGGCACTAGGTTGGGGAAGACTGTTACAATAATGATTCGGACATTATTTATAGACATCCAATAGTATCCGGGCTAGAGGATAATTCTACCATTATACACCAAAATATAAAATGCATTCAACGCTACTTCAAATGCTGAATGCAGTTGCTGGAATTTTGCTTCCAAGTAACCTAATCAGATTGGATATCAGTGTACAAACCAAAAAACATTGTAAGGAATCTTAATTCCAGGCAGCTGTACTTACTGACAGTGCTGGTCACTTATGGCCAATGGTGGGCAGAAAGGAAATATGTCAACTGTAGAAAGGAAATGTTTAGATATCACTTCCCCTGCTCCTCAGTACAACTTTCATTTCCTGAACCCAACAGATGAGCACACCCTGTTTACTAATACTTTGTTAGAAAATGCACACACCATGCAAGAATATGGTGTGTGCAACCCCAGTCCTGTACACAATGGTTTCTCGACACCCTTTATAGCATTGTGGAATCTATAACAAAACGTTTTGCAGTGGTCACAGGGACACATCTACAAGTCACATCCATTTTCTTCCATCAGGGCAACAACATGTGCCAGGAATAGCAGCCATACAGTTGGAGAACTCCTTCATCTTACCTGCATCTTCTAGATGAGGGGTCTTAATACTGGCCACTTACTTAGGTCATGGCAGACATGACAACTGAACCAGGTACTTCCCTGGTCCAGTTCTCAGTCCTTTCGTTAGAATTACATCATAATCTCCCTACAGTGATTCTTGAGCATTCTGGCAGCCTTGTGAGAAAGTGCTACATAAATATCAGTCACAGAGGAATACAAAGAACTAAAACTATAAAGCATATCATTTTCTGCACATAAGCACTGCATTTTATTTAAAGGGATACTGTTGTTTTTGGACAGGGTTGTAGTAGTAGTAGTAATAGTAATAATAATAATAATACAAATTGAATATAATATTCTCTATCCCAGGACTGGAAGAGTAAACTGAAAATACCACTCCAGGTGTGCCTTCCATAAACACACCACAGTTGAAATTAGTAAAATAAGTAGATGCACAAATCCCTCCAAAGGTATAAGTAGGAAATAATAGTGACCAGTATGTCTGTGTATCTCAAAACAAGAAAAGTAGGGAACAAAGGACTATCAATTATGAAAAGCAAGTTAGATCTTTTTTAGTGAAAGTGAGTTCTTTATAATAGAAGAAGAGTTACTACATGAAAAGTGACAGTGTCCCTTTAAATTACTCTGAGGACTACTTTTTAAAGCCACAATTAGCAAAAGAGATGGGACTGTTGCCTTCAAGGAGACATGAGGAGCAGAAGGAAAGGGGAGGAGGATGGGAGGTGTGGGGACTGCATCAGCCAGGAAGCAGCACTTGTTAGGTGTCACTCAGCATTGACCCTTTTACAGCTCCTTCTGTAGGCAGGTGATATAGTGGTGATGTTTGGGAAGAGCGCTAGGAAAACCTGCAGACTCTCCACTGACCTTAGAGCACAAGTCCTCAGAAAGGAACCATACCTTATCCAGCCATTTGTTTTAAGAGAAGTGTATTATTTGATTTGTGAAAACCTCAATGGGCCCCCAGCATTTGCTCCACCTACTGATCAGGAGAGTGGAGAAGTGGCAAAAGGGCACTCACTGCCTTTACTTGCCCCCAGACAACATGGAAAGCAGGAGGGGCTTTGGCAGAAGACCTTGGCACTGCTTTGGCACTTCAACTACCCCCCCCCCCGCCAATTGGTCTGTGTCTTGCCTTCTATAGGGGCTAAGTTAGCAGTTGATGTGTGCAAGAGTAAAACTCTGGAGGAGGGTGGTATCACCCACACTAGGAATAATGGGTTAAGGGGCCCTTTGTCCATGTCCCATCTGCATGAGGAAAAGCTACTGAAGTATATAATAAGAGAAGGGGGCTCCCCTGAGATTCAGGGCTATGTTGTGAGCCCGATAAAAAATCCCTGGGAACCTTGGACACCCTCAGTTACCACTTACCTGGCCCTAATGACAAGAGACCACAAAATGCTATTGATTTGTAAAATCCTGATACAGAGAACCCTAAAGTTGTGCTTGAGTTCTACAGAAGTGATGTAGTCTTAGTTCTCAGAGAAAAGTCACCTTAAGGAGACTACTTGGCACTGCATCTTCCTACCACCAACTCTCAAGAAATAAGGGCAAGAATATATTGCTCCTGTTTTTTGCCTGTTTTTCCCCCAAGATATGCTACATCAAGCCTGCACAACTGGGAACCTGTTATGCAAAGTCCAATCCATCAAGATTTCTGATCAATTTTAAAGTTTTGCTTTTTACATGCCTGGGCCTGCAGAACAACTTCGGAGGGCTGCAACAGACAGTTTGCAGGCTCTGCGAGATACATTTTGTGCAGGTCTGTATTATATTCACAGTGCATGGGGACTCAGTCATAAGACCATGTCATCAGGCAAAAGAAAGAAAACTGCATCAGAACACAGGAAACTGCCTGCTACTGAGTCACAGCACTGGTCCATTTAGTCCGTATTGCTGACACTCGCTGGCAGGTACTCTCCAGGGTTTGGGGCAATGTTTTTTCCAGCCTTACCTGGAGATGCCAGGAATTAAGCCTGGGGCCTTCTGCATGCAACGTACGTGCACCATTACTGTTTAGCTATACCCTCATTCCATAGAAATGGCATCAGCTTAAGTGTCCCTTCAGGGCAAACCTTAAACAAGAGGGAGGGCAAGACCACTAATGCCATCTGAGGGTTTGCTCAAATTCTTCCTTTTCTAGTACATGACAGTGCATGCACAACATCTGCACTCAATGCTGACTGCACATCTCCGTGTAGGAGCTATCGAAAGAGAAATCTGGCAGGGCTGGCTTAGAGTGATCATCTGCACAAACCCCCAAATAATAGGCCGCTTTAATGGATCCTGCAGTGCATGATGGTGACTTCAGGCACAGGAAGCTGGGATGTCAGGGGTGAGCAGCAGTGTTAACCCCCTGACTTTTGGTCCTGAGCCTTATTCCTTTGCGGAAAGACAGATGTGCATGCCACACAATTTGTCCGACATCCACCAGTAGACTAAGCTGCTTCCAATGTCATGGAGGAAGCAGTCATCAAAAATGCTGGGTTATGATTCAACTGTCAGTCTGCCTGGCTTCTGTACATGGAAGGCAGGGACCCCAAGCAGTAAAATGTCCTGGCCTAGTCCTGAATCCATATAAACCAGCATGCATGCATGCATGGATATAGGTGATGGGAAGAGATTATTACTCATTTCAGTGTGAGGATTTGGAGGAAAAAAAACATTTAGAATTGGACATGGATACATATACACAATGCCAAGTTGAACTCAGGGAGGGGGTAATGTAGGACCTTTAAATATATTTCATTTAAAATGGGGATTCCTAGATAGGAAGCTCAGGAGTGACAGACCGAAGGTCAAAAAGACAGGTTCCCCGCATTGCTAGGATCTTCCCCTGGAATCTATGATCAACTTCAGTAATGCACAGGGATCATTGAAGGTAAGCTAACAGATAAGATCACAACCAAAGTAACTTGTTTTAACCTCCATGTGCAAGATAATCATGCCAGAATCCCTTTTCATATTATAGAAAATGGAAAAACTGCACACCCAATTTCCTGAGCTTGCTCTTAGTTTTACAAGAGACATTATTACTATCTACTGGGTTTTTATAGGGAGATGAAAGGAAGTCACTAGTCCTGATTTATCCTGTCCAATTCAGCCTCTCCAAGTACTGAATACTTTGGGAAGAAAACCTTAGGCAAACATAGGGGCTTCTTTATTCAAGTTTAGGGACTAAACAATAACATTTAACATAGAGGCCATGCTCCAGAGCATTTCTTTGGGTACCTGGAGGAATGTTGTCCATGGGGTCGCAATGGGTTGGACACAACTTCGCGACTAACAACAACAAGGGATATAGAGCGCAAAGTCCCATTTTTGCTTCAGCTGCATCATCTTAAATTGCAGTTCAGCTGCACCTGTTTTTTTACAGCTAACACTGGCTACTGCAGTTCCATGTCATCTCCTCCTCACTTGCCTGCACTACTTAGTAATATAAAGCACATCACCACGTAGGAAGTTTGCTTTTCATTGACTTCTGCCTGAGAAGAGAGGGAAGATTCTCAGTGTGGCGATGCTACACCGCACGTTACAAAAACTCCAGATGGGTTGTCATGTTGCATTGGTGCAGTAAGAACAACTGTCTTGCACCCCCTTAAAGACAAATTTCTCATGACTCATTTTCATGGACCAACATTCTTAAACATTACCATTGGAGAGGATTCAGGGCAATGCAGCTTCTGAATTTCTCCCATGTTGGAACAAATGGTTTTTCAAGTGCCACCGGGCTGAGGAATGTAGAGAAAAGATGGGGAAGAAATTCCTCCCTGTACACTTGGATAAGGCCCATGGTTAACCCACCCCCCAAAAAAAGGAAATAGGCCACAAAGAGGATAATTTATTTCCTAACACATTTTGAACATTAAAATTCTTCCTTATTTCGAAACAGTATAAAAGATGGATTCACTTTCTTTTTGAAAGCAACTTGGACAGAATCACCTCCAAGGAAGTGTTTTAACACTTGAAACGTATAAGGCAATACACCGTGTCTCTGCACTTTGGAGACCTCCCACACTCTTTTGTTCCTGCAATGTGACCTTTTCCTGCTCCCTTAAACCATCAAAAAGAATGTTGGTTTTATTAGGTCTTAAAAACACAGTGAGACAAAACCCTGCTTGTTAAGGATTGCTTGATCTAATGCAGCCTTCTCCTTTGAGCTGGAAAAGGGGTTGTGCCCTAGCCAATCAATTAGGTGCAAAAGTGGTTTCATCTCATTGCCGTGAGCCAGGGATGGAAAGAAGTAGGTGGAGGGAGAGGGTGGCAACAGGAGCAGGTGTCAGCAGGGTTAGTGCCAGCAAAGAGGTTCTGCCATACGTACCACCCAGGTGCAAGTCGATGAGGTCACTGTAATAAGACTCTCCCCAATAGTCTATAACAAGGAATCGGTGAAGAGAGACAGTTATTGGTTCAAGTCCCCACCCCAGCTAGCCCTCCCCACCCCATGCCCAGAATTCAAAGCAGTAGATAAGAGAAACACAAGAGAAGCAGACAGGGAGAGGGAGAGAGAGAGGGAGAGAGAGAGACAGAGACAAGAAATCATGCAACTTTGTAATAAATATATACACATATAGGTATACAAAATGGACGCTGTAAAGACAGGGAGAGGGAATAATATTCCCTGGTTAAATAGGCAGGCAAGAGAGGCAGGTGTAGACTTCCAGGCACAGAAGGGGAACAGGCTGGGTTTTGTATAAGGATTTGTCCTCTATGTTGGTTTATAACAGTATGCGACACTGCACTGTTTTTGTTTCAGGGATGTTATGCAAAGGACCATAGAAAGGAAACTGAAGGAAAAGATGGGAGCAGTGGAACAAATTGGGCAGGACATGGTGCATTCCTTCAGGGAATGGCATTCTCACTTCTTTCTCCAAGTGCTCAACTGCAGTGTCCGTGTGGTCTATGCAGCCAGGAGAGCATGAGCATCTTTGCTCCTGCAGCCTTGAGTAAGTATTTTTACCCCTTCGGATTCAAAGCCACAAATAGCAATCTTTGGAACTAAGAACTGACTTGTGAAAATTTACGCAGATAACCCCCTCCCCTTTTCTGCTAACCTTCCCCACACATCTGCATTCATGCAACCATTTTCTGTAAGTGGCATATATTGTATCAGAATCAGTCCTCTATGGATGTATTGGTGGAACCAGCTTAATGCACCAATGTCTACACAGGCCAGACATGTTGCACTGGGACAAGAATAAAGTGAAGGACGTCAAAACCCTCAAAATGAAGAGTGATTAAGGAGTTGCCATGTCTTTCCTGCAGAACATAAGGGTTGTCCTGTCCCCCTGCATAGCCATTTTATTCTACAAAAACTCCATATTCTGATGCAAAAGGAGGGCGACTTGGACACTGGATACACAAATGGGGTATCTAGTGTCTATGCACATGCTTAGCATGGTAACCATGCTAAGGTAATTTTAGGTCCAAAAACATAGAAAAATTAGTTTGTCAGTTTATAAAGAACTTTATCAAAGCAGCAATAATATAGGGAAAAGGAAATCCATGCTGAGTATGTAGCAAACTTTAGGGGCCACTTACTTACTCTAGAGGAGATAAATATGTATGGAAGACCCATATCTTCAGAACTGTGCGTGATAAAATGTTTCCTTTATACTTCCAGTATGGCTCTTTCTAATTAAATGCTAAGTTTTATGCAGAGTACCCACTCTTATGGTAATAAAGAGGGGATTAAGAAATAAAATAAAGGGATATTTTAGCTTCAACTCCCAGGGAATGAGTACCAAAATTGTCTCAAGAAAGTGGACTTCAGAGGTGGTCTAATGCACCAAATTTTCACTTGGGACCAAGACAGGGCCAGCCTTCTCTTATGCCAGGTGAGTTGGTCTACTTCGGTTGTCAAGCTGTTGTTGGTAATGTTAAAGGGAAGCAAATGATTGATTATTGAGTATAATATTGGTGTTCCTTTCATTGCAAAGAGAGTACCACTAGGACTAGCTACCTCATACACCTCAGGGTGCTCAAGGTATGCCCTCCAACACACCACAAAATAATAAAACCAACTGAGTTTGTCTGTTGAACAACTCTGAGATACATAGAAAGCAGGAGCACACAATTCTGCCACAGGCTGATGAACATTTCCTACACAGTGCATAGGAAAAATGCATGTACATTGTATGCATGTCACAACACGATAAACACATGATGTCTATTTCTCTACAAATATACTAGGATAGACATGTGCATTTGCTCTGTGTTATGGCATACATGCAATGCACTATGTATCTTATACCTATATACAATCTTTTCTTGGGTGAAATGGTCCTAACATCTTAATTCACAAGGACGCCATTTTAACGCATGGCCATTATTTAATGAAGAATAATGACCAATTTGGAAAGAGCTGTTATGTAATACCAGGTCAGTGTCTTGTCTCCAACAGCACTGATTACTAGCTGTTAAAGAGAATGGGGTGCAGTCCAAATCCATTTGCCTCATACTGCGACTATTACAAAGGTGGAGCATCCATCAGTCTGCCAGGTGTTTTGGTTTACATCCCCCATCATCCCTCAACATTGGTGATGCTGGCTAGGACTGCTGGGAGTTGCTGGCCAAAACATGCCAAGAACCATACGTTGCCCATTCTCCTATTACATGAGAAAGACAGATTGGTGCATATATGGCAAAAGGATGGGAGTAAATAACAATAGCACTAGAGGTAAAAGAATACCCTGAAGGTACTTGAAAACTGCAAAATCTTGTATCTCATCTCATGGGATGACAGGCTGTTCCAGGTTCCTATTTCCTACAGGAGACTGGAACCATTCTCAGCAATGCTGCGTGACTGCACATCCTGAGTTCAAAAGGAAATTCATTGGTAATACTAACACCTGACCTCTCAGTAATGCTGGGAATTGTAGTTCAACTCATATGAAGGACACCCAGCTGGGAAGACTGGCCTCGGCCAAGGCTGTCTGGGAATGATGAAATTTGGAGTCCAATACATCTGGAGGTCACTAGGCTGAGAAAGCCTGCCATAGGACAAACCAATCTTTTGTTTTATTCATTCCTCTTTCCATTAAGCCATCTCCACCATTATATTCTAGATATAAACAGAATATTTTTTCTGCCTTTAAACAGACCATCACCACACGCGATGTGTGAAAGATAATGCCTTACTGGTTTGCCTATCTCCTCTGTTTTTGGTGACAACAGGGATGCGCTGAGAAAACGTCAGTGAGTGGATACAAAATTAGTAATTGTTGGCTTGGAAACTGGAGGGAAATCCAGTGAACACACAGAGATACAACGTCTATTGTTGAGCCACCAAATCTGACCACTGCTGTATGGCAAGAGACGGATGGAATGCTTCCAGATATAGATTTTCCTTATCTTACTAAGGCAGAGTGGGAGTTCTGCTTTACTAATTAAAAAGATTTGGTTTGCTAATTATAACAACTTTAACATTTAGGGGCAATGTGAGCTCTAGTGCTGGAAAGAGGTCACACAACTTTTTAAAAATACAGGAAAGTAGGTTTAAATAGAAAAAGGGACATTAAATTGCACAGTGCAGCACTGTGTAGTCTTGCACAATTCTTTTGTTCTTTTAGTAAGACACACTTTCAGACAGCATGTGTGTTGATCAGTATCTGCATTAATGTTGCTTTTGTGAGAAGGAAATAGATGACAGGTCCTTTTCTTAATATTTTTTTTTAAAAGGCAAGCAACTCCAGATGAAGGATTTTGCGTTAGGCAACAATCAAGGATTTCTGCTCATTTTACTCTATTTTCCAGATACACCTTTGTCTCATTTTATTTCGCTATTAAAAAGCCTCTATCACCTTGAACATGGTAGTAACTGACTTCAATGTTAGTGGTATTTGGGCAAGATACAGTGCCCAGCTTCCAACAATGATGGGTTATTAATGGGTTTGATGATCCTCCCTCAACCTGGCAACTCTCCAGATGAGTTGGGCTGTAACTCCCATAATTTGCAGTCCAGCAAACCTGGAGAACATCAGGTTGAAGAAGGCTGCCCTAAATGGAGCAATTTCCCACATAGTTTCTTCCCTTGGGTCACTCTGTAATGAGCATTTCAAGGATGACAGCAACTATAGCTTTCTCCTGTCCTTTTAAGATAGGCCAAAGAAAACAAGGAGGTGGTTTAAACTTAATTCATCCTAATTCATCCTTTGACATTATCAAGTCTATCTTGAATAAACTATTATCTACCAGAAAATGTCAGAATAGGCTAAGATATAACTTGAATGAAATAAAAGCATTTTAACTTTAGGTAGCTAAAAATATCTGTTCTTTGAGCAATGATTTAGTGATGACAATAACAATGTTTTGATGGGTGACTGATAATCCTACTACATTCCTGTAGGAAATTTCAATGTGTCAAACTAAGCTTCAAGCAAAGCAGAGAAAAAGTTTTTCTAAGCTGATTCAGGGGAAGTCACTTTAGTTATATTTCCCTCCCAAATCTGAAGGCAGTCCATAACAAAATACTTTATTTTCTTCATCTAATAATTATGTAGCCTGTTGTATCACTGGTGCATGGATCATATTAATAACTTGGACCTACAAGAGAGTCACACGATATATTTCCCTTTATTTGCCCACAAAGAAGAGAGAGGTTGCTGTGATATGTCAATCATCATCTAACTATTCATTCCCATGGATGAGCTGGACATTGTGGTAGAGATGAGATTACTGCCAAAACAGCATCCTCATGTCTAATCCTCCCTCCATCCCTCACAAAGTCGAGTGAAAGTCACTATGGGAGGTAATGACATCGTGCTGCCAGTTTCATTGCCTCTGCCAATGGAAGCCAATGAAGAAGACAGCTGGGAAAATTCACCCTGTGACACTTTACAACCAGTTTCATTAAACATTGTGATGGTGGTAAAATATTAGCCATAAGGATGTCACATTTCAGCAGCAGTCCTGTAGTTTAGTGCGGGTTTTCCCCTCCATCTATGTTAATTCCAATACCATTCCTTTAAACCTAGCCATCAAGGCTGCAAGCCCGTTCCACTAATAGCAGAAAGCAATGAAAATCTTATCACACATATGATTTTTTGTTCCATATGCCTTGGTGAGAGGACTGAGTTTGTACAAGATTTTTCAGAGCGCAAGTGATACTTGCTGGGCTGTTCTGTGATGATCCCTTGTGAGGGCTCTAAGGCTAATTCATGGCACAGTCAATTAAAAACACACACTATTTCTCTCACTTTCCCCCCACAGCTTCTGGGCAACATGAGGGCTTCCTTGCTATGAGAGTTTTATTTCCTAAATGAATATTAACATCTGGGTAACCGATAATCTGCATTGCAACTTTCTAAAAGATGCAACCAATAACTCTACAAAACTTTGCTCCTTCACTGAAGTAGCAAGATGAATTTCCAGAGCACATGTAACACCACCTCACAGGCAAAGGTGCCCAAGGTATGTTAGAGAAAGGAAATGGTGAATTTTAATTCTTATATTGAAAAACTGATTAATAAAACCACTTGCAGCTTAGGAGGGGACCAGTTTTCAGAGATAGTACACAAATTGTTAACAAACATTTGCATGGAAATTTAAGCAGCAAAGATTTTAAAAAAACCACTATTGAATACTGAAAGATACCTGCTTCCCCCCGAAGAGCCTTCTCAACAGCAACTCCTCTCTCCTCCAGCTGTCTTTGCTTCTCTTCTACCTGCTCCAGTTGACGTTGGATAATCTAATGAAAAAGTGGCAAATATAAATAAATATAAGGTCATACTCTCCTTTTATCCAAATGGTAAAATGCTGATCCGAGAACTCTTGATCCTTCCAAAGCAGACTGATGCCATCTGAGTTTCAGGCTGTGCATTATGTTGACACTGTGCTCTGTAGCCTGAGGAGAGTATGCGTACCAACACAGGGTTCACCTATGGGTCAGATCAGGTCAGGTTTATCATGAAAGTCAGGTGAGAAGAGTTCAGCATCATGGAAAGCTCCGAGCAGTGCTGGAGGACAGACGAGGTTGTGCGTAAGCTGCCCCAATGGAACTCCTCCACGAGATGTGACACAACACAGTCCTCAGCTAGCACACAAAGTGGTTATTTCATTGCTTTGTTGTGCAGTTACCAAGCTTTCCAGTAAAACTATATTATTAGGACAGGGTCCTAAGGAGGTGGAAGCCTTGTGATACTTTTTCATACCAAATCTTCTCCTGGAAGTGTTACTGTGGAAACTCTTTTTCAAAAGACAAGGGGTTCAGTTCCTCAGGGCTAGAACCTGCTTTTTTGTTTACACTGATGTGTAAAGTATTATATATGCACTGACAGCCCCACTTCTATTCAGTTCTTCAGCTCTGGTCGATGCATCTACAGCAGTAAGTCTTTCAACCACAAGGACCCATATATATCTTTTGAAAAAGATTTCAAAGAAAAGAGAAGAAAAGAGTTTTCTTCACAACAGCAAGACAAGGATATCCACTGTTGGCAAGCAAACCCTAGATTTAGGAAAGGCAGGCCATCCACCTTGGGTATAGCCCAATCCACTTTCTCAGACCAGTCCTGGGTTGGGCTTCAGATTTTGCAAAATTTCTTCCCAAGCACTCAGTATGCTATGTTGCCCAGTATAAAGTAAGCAGCAAAAGATGCAGTCTATTATGGTTGAAACATCAGGACCACAGTTCAATGTAATCAGATTTTTCTCCAAATGTAGAAATATAAGCACACGATGAACTTTTTTAGTGCATGCTGCAGGTATGAGCATGAAATTACTATCTTCTTATGGACTCATGAAAAATACTTCTGGAAAAGTGAGGAAAAATTTTGACTGTACCTGGGCCCTGTGTAACCTCTTCAGCTCCTCTTGCTTGGCTTGGCGACGGGCAGCTTTCTGTACCCTCCGGGTCAGTTTGGCGTTGAGCTCATCCTCTGTGTATGCCTTCTGTAGTAACAAAAAGGAGAATGTGTTACAGTCTTGTACTGCAAATTGTCAGCCCCAACGGCTTGGAGCTGACAGTGATCGTTCTTTGAGTCTTGTGGCACTTGCTGGACTTCCGGCTCAACAAGCAAGTTGGCTGCACATAGAGGTGCTAGCAGCACAGCAGATGGGGTTTGGTGAAAGACGGAGATGAGGAAAAAAAGAGGTGTGATTCAAGTGCAAAGCAGTGATTTTATGCAGAGCTTCAAATTGTGGCTGCATTCCTCTTGGTGTTACTTGTTCTAAATACAGGCATTGCCCCTGAATATCATGACTTTCTCACTCAAAATCTACCCCTTGAACCACTAAATTTCCACTCTCAGCATAATGAGAGAGGAAACATCATCTGTGGGACTTTTTGATTTATCTGGTGGTAGATGAACACTTCAATTTAATCCAGTGAGGAGAGCAACTGGTAAAGTGGTTATATACCCAAATATACCCATATTTTAAGAATGGTCAACTTTCATTGCATACACAACTAGGATGCTAACGGGATGGTTGTGCGCAAATACTTTTGTCTGACATGTAATCATTCCAAGAGATGTTTTTAACTGGGCATGTGATTGATAATGTCTAACAACAGCCATAAATAGTAAAGTGCATAAGAAAAGTCATGTTGGATTAGACCAATGATTCATCTAGTCCAGCATTTCCATTGCAAACCAGGTGCCCACAGGCTCTTTCAAGCAGGATGAATGGAACAGCTCCTTCCTGCCCAAGCTCCCTAGCAACTTGTATACTAGCCCATCCCGCCTCTGATACTATAGGTAGCACATAGCCATCAAGACTAGTCGCCATTAAGCTTCTCCTCCATAGATCAGCAGCAGATGCATCACAGGGGCTTGCTGATTATGTAGTGTGACTGCAATTCTGTGATACGAATGAGGAACCTTATGACTTTTTGGACACATGCTCCAGTGTCTTTTAAACATCTTGTCAGAATTATCAACAACACAATCCAATCCATGTTTAGACAGAAACAGGTCTAAAATTCCTAGCATGCTTCAGCTAGCCACAGCTGTCTGGGGCATGCTGGGGATTGTATACCTTCTCTCTTTCTAAATACGTATGGGATCATTTTTTGAATGTACATAGCAAGAGATACATGTGACCTCCTTAGGTACTTTTGGGGCTGAGGAGTTAAGAGCCTATGCTGAAACTAGGTGTGCGTGTTATGTGTTTTATATAATTTTCTCTTTGTCTCCATTGACGCAAGCAGCTCAAGTTTATTTATAAACACCCCCATTACCTTTGCATTATTTAAAAAATCAATTGAGGTAGATCAGTTTGGCTGAAACCCCGAACAATTAGAGGGAGGAAGAAAAGGATACCATTACAGTCACCAGTAGAATTTATTAGTGTTACAAAGATGCCACACCACAGGAAATCATTTCAATGTCTCTTTAAGCCTGTATCTACCACATTATCTTGAGATCAAGTTGCACTGGTACTTTATATCAGTACTTCCCTAGAAAATATATGAGTTTGCCCTGAGAAAACATAATAAATTAATTGCCTTTTTCTTAAGTTTTCTTTTCTTTAAAACTTATCAAACCTGTAACCATGTGATCTCATGTTGCACTTTATATGTCAAAATCCATACGTCCATAGATGGATATGCATTCATCAACATGAGAATGCCTGAATTATTTTTTTCCAATGCATGCATCTTGAATGGAAGCATACATGTGGATGACAACTTTCACATTACAAAACTCAAACCTTCATGAACATGTAGGTTTTCACATACAAAATGGTACATGAGAAGCAAAGCAGAGACAGAAAGGCATATTCACGTAGCAAACCGATGTTGGTTTTATACTGGTTCGGTTGTTATCTCCCACCCACCCCTAATTTTGGGATCGGCAGTCAGGTGAAATGAGACTTTAGATACACTCACAGAACACAAGTCCTCTGAGTTCCCTATGGAGATCAACTGTTATTAAACCGTTAAACCTGTGGTGTGGATACATCCAGAAAGAAAGATCATTGAGGTGATATTGTGATGCTCCTTAAACAGTATATTCTTTGGAATGCAATTTTAATCAACAATTCAGAATTAAATGAATGATTTGCAAAACTGTATGAAGTCAGCTGTTCACAGATTTTTTTAATGAACTGTATTTTGTGCCTTCCAGCTATGCTTATTTTTTTGTTACATATTGATGATACAGACAGTGGATGACTACTACCTATTGCGATGACCAAGGCCACTGTGTTCTGTAGAGCTTACAGAACTCAAAACCTGCCCACCTCACTGATTAACACTGGCCAGTCATTCTCTCACAGTCTAACCTGCCTCTTTCGACTGCTGTGAGCATGAAATGGGTGAAACTGAATTCCTTGATAAAATACACAGTATGTATTTATATTTTTATTCCAGTCAACTTGTAAGTGTAATGTAAATACACAATTCATTCAGCAAAATGTCCACCTTGCTTTCTTCCAAAAGATTAACATTTCTTATTGCTAGTTCCTTGAGGCATATATTGCATACATTTCAAGTGTAAATGATGGTTTAAGACTTGAAGATGATAGTTACCCATCTCTGTTAACTATTTCATACATGCACAGCCAAGGTAATGTTAGTATGAAGGAAGGCAGGGTGAAGGGGCACAGACTACAGTTCTGGCATTTTAATAACAGGAATGCATGCAACCATGGCCAGTCAATGAGAATGGAGACACTACCTTTGATGCGTATGATCTCTTGAATGCCAAGGCGTGTGGGACGTAAATCGACTTTAAAGGGGGCAGCAAGGGAAAGGAATAGCAAAGGCAAAAATAAAAAAACATAAAATGGAGCAACATCAGTTGAATGTTAAAACAATGAAAACAAAATGCACAGTAATAAACACAAAGGCTGCTTGAAATGTACCATGAAACCACATAGGGAATGAATTCTGCAGAAACCAGAAACACACAATAGAAACTCATTGCTTTAAAAAAGTAGTTCCTAGAAGAGTTCTTGTGCCAGTTACAATCCAAGAAGTTGCTCATCCTGGAAACTCTAGACAATTTCTCAAATCTATATAGTTCTAAATATTTGAGACATGAACAAACGTGCTTGAGGGCAATCATTGGACCATCTTTCTTCAACCTGGTGCTCTTCAGATCTTTTGGTCCCACAGTATAGAAGTTAGAGTGTTTAGAAAGGTTCTAGTCTCAACATGGTCATGAAACTCACAAGGTGACCTTGGGCCAGTCACTGACTTAATGTAACTAGGTTCAGGGTGTTGGGAGGATGGGGACAGGAGGAAGAGGGGACTGTGGAAGTGGCCTTGGGCTCCTGGTAGGAGAAAAGGAAGGATATCAGTATAATAAATTCCTATTAGCTCCAGCCAACATATGCTGAGAGATCCTATGCAAAACATCTGAATGACACCAGGCTGGGGAAAGACTGGACTAGATCATTCCTGACCAGCTTGTGATCCATCAAGCCAAGCAGAACTCGCCAGTACTATATTGTGATCTGCCATGTTGCCTTGACAATTACAGGGAGTTCATAAAACACCCAGCTTTTCTCTCTCATTTGTGATCTTCAACTTGAAGGGATTTACAAACTGGACAAGTTAAGGTTAAACCAATTTTCATAGAATCATACAAAAGTAGAGTTGGAAGGGGCCATGAAGGCCATTGAGTCCAACCCCCTGCTGTTCTGGGTCACCAATTCACACCATCCCACTTGAATGACTCCCTAGTTTCTTCTTGATTGTCTCTAGTGTGGGGGAGTCCACAATCCCTCTAGACGACTGGTTCTTTGCTCTAACAGTGAGGAAACTTATCCTGGTATCTAGTCTGAATCTGGGTTGTTGGTTTAAGAAAAAAGTAGAACTTAAACAGAAGCACAGTAAAGCATGTTGGCTGTGAGTTGTGTTGCATAGGAGACAATAGCTGCATTGCTTAATGGGAGGGCTATTAACAGTGGAGGCTCTTAAGGGGAAAAACTGGACTCCTATGTCTCCAGTTGCATATTGATGTCAGGCAGATGTACTGGCCTCACATTTCTGGTTTAGAAATGATTTCCACATCCACCCCCCATATATAAGAACAGTTACAGAAGTGGATTTCTTGCCCTTTTTTCTGACCACAAACTTCCACTTGAATGACACACAGCTTTGCAGAATATAATGAGGAGAGGTGTTCCACAGGGGCACCCAAAGTCACCCCTTGCCAGCTTTACTGGCACATGGCAGGAAAACACACTCAGTCAATTTCCCTAATATTTTTCAGAACTGCATAGCTGATTCTGCTTTTGCTAGTAACCTGGGAAAAAGAGGTAGGGAGGACAATCCTGAGGCCCTGTCTGCAACCATGTAAAATACTTGCTCAGCATGCAAAGCAATGTATTTCCCAGCACTGGAATTTCATGACCTGAAGATAAATTGTTCATTATATTGTGTCCAACATATTTTTATGCAATTGCAAGGTGGAGTTGATTGAATAGCAAAAAATAGACATGAAATCCTGGCCTCTGTGCCTGCTTTCCAGCATTTGTGCAATACATTCAGTTTCCCTGAAGCAAACACAGTCATGAACAGAAAATGGGAAAAAGTCTGAGAATTTAGTTGAAACCTCATTATTTAGCAAGTTGCCATAGAGAAAAACGCAACGTGACTAAGTGACTCAAAAATTGTACAACAGCAGCATGTAAGCACACAGACTACAGATTCTAGGAACACACAATCCACAGGAAATTACAGTTGCAATTTAGAGGCCGCTTCTAGCATTACATAAATGTGACTCTGATAATCACAAATATGACTTTGACCTAGTTCACATGTAATGACTAATCCAGCTTGTTTAACCCATGAGGCCATGAAGGAGCAAGCAAGCACACTACCTCCAACCACTTTGCTACATGCAACCAGTGTAGCACATTATTGAGAATTCCCTCACTTCTGGGTTGTGCTCCATGTTATACAATTTCAGAAATCTAGATTGTTGAGGGGAAAACATCTCAGACTCTTAACCCAACAACAAACCATGGGTTAAAACTCTGGCCTGTTTTTCCCTCAACAGCCCAGCATTCTGGGTCCACATATTCTTGGATTGTTTTTTAATGCAGAAACGAAGTGGAAGTGGTGAGTATTCATGAAGCAACAAACTCCGCTTGCTCTGGCATGGCACTGGCAACTCCCAGGCTATTCTTACATCTGAACTAGGCCTGCAAGTCTTGCAATTTTGGGGAAGAGGGGAGATGGTGTTACAATAAGAACACTGACAGTGGAATTTTAGTGTATAAGTGGTTCAAGATCAGTCACGTAGCAGAGAAAATAAATTATTGGTTCAGGAGATACATACAAGATCATGCTCTCCTGCTCCAGATTAGTAATTAAATTAGATGGCTCTGCCCTTCCCTGCCACACCCACAACTCACTGGAACAGAAATTGTCACGCTGGAATGGTGCATAGCAAAGAGGGCTCTCTCAGGTGTGACTGTGAGGAGTGGCTGTTCCACCCTCCACCCCACAGCCCTTCCCCTCTCTCCTTCGCCATATCTAAGCCCCCATTGTCACTGCCAGCCTCTCCAGATTTCTGTTGTAAGGAAGCCCCTTTGTTACATGCTCACAAGCTCAGTATCTGATATTGGCTATGGAATAGTTAAGTCCATGGATTGCTTAACTACACCCTTCTTACTCATAACTGAGAGAAGTTAAGAATCACGCAAGAACAGATGATTTCCACTCTCCCATTGTGCATTTATTTTCAATGCAATTCTCAATGCTGTATGAATAGCATGTTTTTTCACTGAGGATTGAGAGACCTTGAATACTTGCATTATGCTAAACGCAGAGCAGAACCATCAAGTCCCACTCCAGCTGCTCTTTGGAGAGGAAATAGGGCAGCTTATCACAGGCTTCCTTCTGTAACACTTAGGCCATCTGTCTGAACCAATCATGTTTGAAACAGCAATTAATCCAAGCTAAGTGATCATGTGAACATTAGGGCAATTCCAAGACATGTACAGTGACTGCATCATGACATATCAGAACCCGCCATCTCCTCACTACTGCCCTTTTCCCATGACATTGTTTCCAGCATCCCCAGATACCTCCTCCTTCATTTGCATCCCAGAGGCAATGTGGAACCTGCCATGAAAAGCCTGAAGGCAAGCATGAAAAAAGTGGACAAAAAGGATAAAATAAAAAGAACAGTTCAAAAGAAAGGCTGTAGATGTGTTATCCAACTCAATGGCTGAACTCAAAAGACAGTCACATTCATTGCTGTGTCGGTAACTACTTCTTTGCCCTCTAGCAGGACTGCTGCTCTAACCAAATGCTGTCATCTCAAGAAAAAGCAGCCCATTAGGATGCTTACCCACAAGTACATCAGCTAGAAAGAAGAGCTATAAACTCCCCCTCAACAGGCAAATGGTCTGACTCACAAGTAAAATCCCAAGCTCTCTCTTTCAAGAGCAAGTTGGAAAGTATCTTTCACAATGTCATCAAAACAGACCATCATGCGTGAAAAGAAAGCATGTGGTGATCTGTCTTGTGTGGATGCCACTGCTATAGTTGCTATACAAGATGAAAGAATGCTTACTGCACACTGCTTTTTTGCTATATAATCTGAAAATATGTCCAGAAGTGGCATAAGGTATTTGCTTTAAAGGCTTTCAACTGCTACTCTTACACAGGATTGCACTGGGCCAGGAACCACATAGCAACTAGACAGCATGGCGTTCACATGCAAAAGCAAGGTGGAAGGAATTAACCTGTTAGAGAAACTAACTGGTTGAACTTGATCTGTAGTTGCCACCCACCCCTGTTAAATCAGCAGAAAATATTAAAGCAAATAACATCCGATGTGCTATGTTTTCAGAACCCATTTTGGCTTTGAAAGAGCAGGGCTGTGCCAGTCTCTCCCACCTAGCTTTGCCTTACCTCTCTCTTGGATTTCTGTGAAGAGCGTTCCAAGACATCGTCATTGGAAAGGTCAGAGTCTTCAGAGAAGCTCAAGTGTCGACGCAATGGCAAATCTGAGAGAAGAGAGAAACTGATCAGATGGCAAAGCCAGAGGAGCCCTCAGCATTCTAGTAAAGACAGGCAGGGAGTTTCCTGAGGTTGGGCCAATGCTTGCTGGAAGCAGTACCACAGGCTCTGTTCTAGGTGTGAGAGCAGCGGTCCCCAAACTTTCTGGCACCAGGGAACAGTTCTGTGGAAGACCATCTTTCCACAGTCTGGTGTAGGGGATGGTTTTGTGATGATTCAAGCACACTACATATATTGGGCACTTTATTTCTATGTTTTATTACATTGTAATATATAATGAAATAATTATACAACTGACCACATCAGCTCCACCTCAGATCATCAGGCATTAGATCTGCAAAAAAAGCATGCAGCCTAGATCCCTCGTTTGTGCAGTTTACAGTAGGAGTCTTGCTCTCATTTGCCTAGGCAGGTGAGGCCACGTGAGTCTTTGAACTGCCACCCCAGAAGGCATCAGATACCCACCTCCTGTGTAGAGAGAAATGCGACACCATGTGTCTTTCGCTTGTTTGACCCTCCTGAGCGAGAGGGAATGTTGTACGGCTGCTGCCTCAGCCAGAAGGGGCCTGCGGCCTCAGCCACCCTACCAAGCGCGGACCCTACTGTAAACTATGCATGTGAGGAATCCAGATTGTGTGCTTCTTATGAGAATCTAATGCCAGACGATCTGAGGTGGAGCTGAGGTGGTGATGGGGAGCAGCTGCAAATCCAGATGAAGCTTCACTCGCTCGCCCCCTCTCACCTCCTGCTGTGCAGTCTGGTTCCTGACAGGGGGCTGGAAACCCTGTATTAGAGAAAGAACATCTTCCTCTCAGAACAATCCCATTAGTTGGCAAACTATTTCTGCTTCAACTCTGCAACAGTTAGCAAATTGTTTTCGACAATTATAGGCCAACTGCAAGCATCCCCAGGTTGCCATAGGGTTGCTCTATGACAGCCTTCCCCAACCTTGTGCCTTCCAGACATGTTTGGACCACAACATCCAGAATCCAGTCAATTGCCCTGCTTGATGGGAATTCTGAAAGTTGTGGTCCAATGCCTCCAAAAGCCACCAGGTTCGAGAAGGCTGCTCTATGAGATCAGCAACTGGAGGAGTATAAACCTGCTGATTCTCAGATTCCTCAGAGTGACTTCTCCAGGTAGCTCCTTACACTTCTGTTATGTGCATGGCTGCTTTGGACTAGGGGATGATTCCAAGATGTTATTGCAATTCCCCCAAATAAGATAGTACCAAATATCTTCATATAATCACACAAATCATTTCACAGGATTGGGCTAAATGTAGCACTCTCAATAGTGGGAGGTTCTTGTAGCACTCTCAGGTCTTTGGAAATCGCTTTTTTCCCCTCTTGCTTTCCTTAGATGTCTTTAAATGCTTGGAACCAGAAGGATGACAACATTGGTTCTGGGTAGTTCAGGAACACAAACATTTCTTGAAAAAAGCACTTCTGCTCACATTCATATTTAGACCTACAAATGGAATGATTTGTGAACAGAATCAAAATTCCTGTATATCGCTAGTTTTATCTTTTCTCCTCTTTCATTACCTCCCAAACCTCAGGGGTCTGCTTGCATCAAGTCAACTATATCTGTACAAGCAAACCATAGCATGTGCCCATATTCTGCACACATGGAGAATCTGAAGTTTCCAGGTGTTTCTACAAAATACAAGCCAGCGACACTATACCTGCTGATGCTCTAACCAGCGGAGATGGCTTATGTTTCCCTGAATCAACTGTGGCCCCACTGGAGGGTGTACTAGGGCAGGATCTGTCATCAGTCTTTTTCTTCTTGTCTTTCTTATAACCAGAGAATACAGACTTCCACAGTGATTTAGGCTTAGTAGCTTCCTCAGCAGCACTGCTGGATTTATCAGAAAGCTTGCTGTCATTCTTGGACTTCTTCTCCTTTTTGTTCTTACGGGGAGAGAAGAGAGAAGTCCTTTTCTTACTCTTCCCTCCAGAACCTTCTGAAGATGTTACTGACCCATCGCGCCCACTGACATCTGGAAAGGGTGAGAAGAACCTTTCACTACTAGCCTCGTGTTTCAGTGTGGGCCCTTCACTGGCTTTCATAACCAAATGCTTTGGGGATTCAAAACAGATCTCCTTGCTGCTTGAGGGCATGGTAGAGGCTTTGTGCAATCTGGCAGCAGTACTGGCCGTCTCCAGATCTTTCATCTTGCACAGCTGCTTTGCCATGGCATCACGCAAGGCCTGGCTCTTGATGGACTTCTCTCGGGCCCTCATTCTTTCCTCGGCCAGCTCCTTGGCTTCTGCAGAGACTTGGGGCAGACCTCTTTTTTGTTGGCTTCCCCCTTCCATGGATGGCAGTCCACCGTTCTGTTTACCCAAATGTAAGTGAAGAGGCTTCTCTGGCCGTGGCCTGCTGGGTGGAGTGTAGTATTTTTCATGGTGGCTTGTATCCTCAGTTCTCTCATCGTAAGTGTCCTCTACATCATCAGCAAATGGTATCTCATCTACACTCTCCACAAACGACTTCCTTACCTCCTCTCTAGGAGGCTGGGATGGCTCCCTGGCTGGCCGGGTCTGTTCGTTTGCTGGTGGTGGGTGAGGCGTTTGCATAGAAGCTGGTTTAGACTCGGCTTCGTTCTGCCAAGTTGCCTGGTGCCTTTTCCTTCGCAGTGTTGCTGGCTCTTCATTTTGAGGTGGCGGAGGTGGAGGGCTGGAGGGAGGGGTAAGCATGGTGGAATCAGAAGTGTTGAAACTCTGGCTGGCCAATGTCCTCATGTTGGATGAACTGCCCTGAAGACCCAGTCCAGAACTACTGGACAGGTCTCTTTTAACATCACTTGAGTTTTTCAGTTCCCTCTCTGATGGGGACTTTGGTGTAAGCAGAGAAAATTGATCATTGTCTAGCTTTGGTGTGACTGGTTTCCTTGGGGCTGGCTGGGGTTTGATGAAATGGATGCCTTTCTCTTCTGAAATCTGCTCGGGTGTGTAGGATTTCAGCGGGGTGGATTCGAGAGCTGAGATGGTAAAGCTTGGCTCTGGCCCTCTGCTTCTGTTCACAGGAGTGAGACCCAAACTTCTCCGGATTTCAGCACTCTTCATCCAGAACTCCTCCACAAGGTTATTCCTTTTCAAAGCTTCTTCTGCTGTGGTAGAGCTCCCCACTTTGTCCATCTCACCATCTTGACTTTTTAGGGCAAGTTTAGCCAAGGGAGTGGAAGTTAAGGCTGGGACTGGTTGAAAACACACTGGTGGTTCCCCTGGAGAAGGAACAGATGCCTCACTAGAAGGTAAAGGCTGTGAACAAATAGGCAGGGGCGCAGCAGGTGGAGATGGTGATATTGCAGGTGTGGCTGGTTGTGATTTCACAGGAGATGTTGGTGTGATGGCCTCAGGCAGTGCAACTGGCTGGGATCGTATTGGAGAGAGTGATGCAGGTGGGCTTTGGACTTTTTGATCACTGAGGATCTTGTCTTGTTTCTCCTCTTCTGGAAGGAATGGCTCAGGGAAAAATTGTGAATCTGCAGATTTCTTGTTGCAGGCTCCTGCTGCAAGAGGTTCCTTTGAGTCCTGCAAGAACAGATATGACCACAGGGCATCAGCAATGGAATGAAACACCCTTCAATAACCTATAAAAAATGGGGTTCAACTTCTTCTTTTTCAGGGAGCCATTTCCAGTTCAACTATTCTCCCTACAGGTCTTCCATGTTTGCCATAGAACCCTACTGTGTGGGCAGAAAGTAGAACTCTAGGCCCTTTGGACTTCAAATCTGAGCATTCCTTGACCACTGGCTATACTTGCAGGGACTTCTGGGGGCTTAAATTCCATATAGAATAATGCTATCTGTGGCCCCTAGGCATTATGCCTATATGCCACCTCCCTACCACAGGCAGTATACCTATGTATACCATGGGTGGGAGCCTACTATTGGACTCATGCCTTGCCTATAGGTTTCCCAAAGGCAACTGGCTGGTCACTAGGCTTGGTCTGATTCAGCAGGGCTCTCCTTATGTTCTTATCTGGAGATGTCCCTTTGGCCCAGAGGATTATGGGAAATTATTTCAGGATCATGTTCCATTCATCTGGGACACTGACCAGGCTTCCGTATAGCCTGTCTTGAATTTGGACTCGCACCTAAAACACATGCCATTTCTGAACTTGCAGTTTTATTGATTAATTTGGCAGTAATGTTGGCATGGTCTTAGGTGTGGCTCCAGTCTCTCATCTATGCATGTGAGGGAAACCCATATTGCTTTGTACGAATGTGACAGAAGAAGAATGCATTAACCTCTCCAGGGCAGAGAGAGAGAAAAAATGTCGCTGCCCAGAATGTATGCTTTCTGGCCATCATTCAAGCTTGAACGCTAGCCAGACTTCCCCTGGCTGTTATCTCTGAAACATGTTGGGACTACAACCTGCAGTGCCCCCAGACAACATATCCATTGGCCATGCTGGCTGCAGATGTTGGGACTTGCATTGCAAAGCATCTGGAGTGCATCAGGTTGAACAAAGCTGGACTTGAAACTGGATCTTTTCCAATGCTGTTCTTGTCAAGTAGTAGATATATACAGGTGGACATAAATATCACGGCTGGAGACAGAACATCGCAGAAGGTAAGCCATTGTTTTGACCCAGTCAATCTACTCTCCTCTTCTTGTGCTTTATGCTCTTAATTCTGAAGTGGTACTACCTTAGAGGTATTAACTGAGTAAGGAAATGTTCCCTCACCCCATCCACTAGTACCAGGGTTCTAGCAGATCTGCCCTAGTCTGATTACTAGGGCACAAGACACAAATGACAGGAACTTTGCATGCGGGCTTGTCCAAAACTGGCAATTTGCACAATATGAGGGGATTACAAGTCAAGAGAGAAACAAGCTCCCCAAAGCCAAGAGAAACTGCTATCCAGCACACAATGGGAAGAGGCAGACCCAGTCCACCAGCTGCAGAAGATCCACAGCTTTGCCTCTGCCGTGCAGATCACATGGTCTCATATACAGAGAACTGGTACACTGCAGAGCAAATAGCTCTAGCTAATTTTAAAATTGAGAAAAGTCTATGCAAAGGGAACTACCACCACAAAGGACTATTAGTCATACTCAGGCATTTAGGCATCATGACAACGCTATCCACTTGAATGAACGTGCAATTCTTGGAAGTTATACCACTGATGACTGTCACTCTTCCTCTGTATTCACTTGGAAATTAAGCATCCAATTCATGGGAGAGTGCATACAGCCGTAGTTTTAAAAAATCCCAAATATATGAATCACTCCATACAGCTGGTGTTGAACTGACCTAAGCCAGACACATCAAATAATTATGTTCAACTTGCACAAAATGCCAGACGAGAGGATAGATTAAGATGATGCATGTCTCATTCTCAAGAAGGACTTTACTCAACATCAAACTTGTAGGGATGACATTGTGGGAATATCTGCCACAACTGATACAAATCAAGTAGATTCCAGAAACCATTCTTTTACATTGGGAATCCACTGGAAAAGCTAAGGGAAGACAGCCCTTTTTTTTGTATTGATCTCAAAATATAGTCAGCTACCCTACTGCATGATCAAAGAAAGCAGCTTCTTAAAGACAAAGTAAAAAAAAATCTTTTAGACAAGCAACCTGGTGCCCCCCAGATATATTAGATTATAATTCCCAGCATCCCTGATCATTTGCCATACTGGCTAGGACTGACAGGAGTTTAAAGCATCTGGAAGCCACAAGACCAAATAAATTTGCTCTAGATCATGCATCTGGAAGGAAATTTGAGCTGTTATCAGTGGTGCTAATGGTGCATATATTACATTGAAATAGTTGGGAACCAAACCCAGAAAATGTTTTTTAAATTCTTATGCACATGTTTCCAGAGTTGTTTTCAGATATAAAGATATTTGCTCACAAATAGACAACTTCCCCAATACATCCTCTTTGAAGTAAGTTTGCATGCTTTCATTGGATTGTAAACCTGGGCAGGACATGCCACTTCTTAAAATGTATTACCATTAGGGATGTATGAGGAATCTGTCTGGAAATGGGAACCTATTAGATTCCTTCGGCTCAGCAGCCCAGAATCCACAGTCTTGGTGAACGCAGCCAGCATTTGTGGGGCAACTGCCAAGGATGGAACCCCACATGCTGTGCAAGCAGTGCTCCTCTCACACACCAGGAGAGGCTCATCTGACACTGAAAAGGCTGATCATAGGGAGTTTGCTGAAAAAACACACCCCTGCCACCACTAACACTGTTCCTCTTGCACACCAGGAGCAGCTGCTGTTTAAGTGGCTGCAACTGATCCTGAAAAGGCTGCCAGTGGCTTGCCAGAACAAGCAGTATTTCCCTTCTGTGCCAGCTGCAGCCACCTTTGAGGTGTTGCAGCTGACATGGAAATAGGTTGCTGGTTGTGCAACCAGGGGGTTTGTGAGCATTCACAGAGTTCCTCTTGGCTCAACTCACTTTGGAAGACCAGACCAAGCACAAAAGGAAGGCTGTAAATGCTTGGAGAAAAGGATTCCATCAGCGTTCACCCCAACCCTAATTGCTATTTATCAATTTCTCATCAATTTGTTTGTCAATCTAAAGAATGATGGAATATTGGGAACTGTTTTTTAATATGAAAAGATCCCAAACCAACATCCAGTCTGTTTTCACAGAAATATGCTCTTACCCATTGTTGTTGTTTAGCAAAGTCGCACCCGACCCATTGCTACCCCATGGACAACATTCCTCCGTGCTCTCTTGTCCTCCACCCCCCCGCCCCCCCAGTCCACCTAAGCTCACAGCTCTTACCCATTAAGTATTCTCAAACTTTCATATTTCAATTATGAGTTAATCTGCTGAAAGCAAGACTATAAAATGATAATTTGTCTTCATATCCTTTGGGTATGCCATTTGGATTTGTGATTAGATTTATCTGCTAGTAAAGCTGGACATGAACGGGCACATATCGACTATTAAGAAACTCATAATATTTTTATTTACTTCCTTTTCTTTGTCATTGTGGTTATCAGTTGGAGAAAGCTGAACAGGCCCTTCAAATGATGTTTCCACAGGTGGACAAGGTTTGCAGAGATCTGAAAGAGATCGGATGAACAAAGCTATTACCTCTTAGAATAATTTGAAGTGCATGCAGTTTACTGACTGTTGCTTGCTCCTTTCTATATAGTTCATCTGGTACCTAACCTAATAGTGCAATTCTTCCCAGTCACAGCATCATGCTTTGTGTCGCCTGAGCCTATGCATATTACTTAGAGCAGTTTCTACTGAATTTAGTGCAGCTTACTTTCAAGGACACATGCACAGGACTGCAGCATTATGGACCAAAACATTACATTGCTTCTGGAGGTGATGGTGCGGCCCAATACTGGTTTGAAAAGAATACGTTCAGCACCCAAAAACAGAACTACTCTGCTGGATCTAACCTAAGTCTATAAACTCCAGCATATTGCTTCCCACTCTGGCCAACAAAATGCTCACAAACAGGAATCTGAAGCAAGATCCCATTTCTCTAGGAGGTCTAATTGATAGCTCTGTCTTCCATATAATCTAATTACCTTTCAAACTGTGTAAGTGTCAATTACTAAGCTAGTGATAATTTTCCAGGTCTTCTGGCATCAAATTCCATACAGTCATTAAGCATTGGGTGAAAAAATTCTAGGCAAACTTGAAATGCATTTGTGAATTGCAAGGCTGCAGCCAACATGGTTTTCTTTACATGAAAGAAGAGAATTACTTGGTTTGCATGTAGCACCAGTTCATAGGCCAGCACTTAATCTACCAGTTTAAGCTCTACACTATTTGCCCCTCAGTCTCCAGAGTTCCAGATTCACCCTGCTGCATTTGGTTAAGGCATTTCTGACCCCCTTAGGAAAGCTGGTTTAGTACTAAAATGGGAAGTGCACAGAAGGCAGTATGCTGGCCCAGTGCTGCACAGCCTCTAAAATGAATGGGTTGTCATTACATGCAAACAAGGCTAGTACCTCATCTTTAGGGATGATGCAGGCATCAACCAGGGGAAGTATTTTAGCAGTTGTAGTGCTGCTGTGATGGAGTGACTTTCCTAGGGAGGCTTACCTGGTACTGAGCTTGTAATCTTCTCACCATCAGGTGAAAATAATTTTGATGCCACAGATTGTATAAATAATAAGGTTTAATGTATCAGGCACTGATACATTAGAAATCAGCAGATACTCGCAGTGCAGATTACCCTTCGGTGAAGAGTTAGTACCTTCTGTTGTAATAGAAGGGGCAGCTGTCTCTGCCTCTTGGTCTTCAGAGTCTTCCAGCTCAAGCTGTTTATCCTCTTCTTGATGTAGGCGGCACTCTGCTTCTGCATCAGATGGGATGTCATCTGTTCCCCATTGATTTATGTAAGGAAAGGAAAAAAGAAACAAAGAATCTCAGGGGCAAGTTTATGATGCCTTCCTGATTGGATTTTATTTCATCATCTGGAGTCAAGAGATGTGTGAAGGTGCTAGAAATGGTGGCAATGTGATTGGTTGGGAATTGTTGTGGGGGAAGGGGAAAGGGACTGTTGTTCAGTTGTAAAGTGGAAGCAAAACTTGACTTGTGTCTAGACTTGTGTTCACACAGACACAACAACCCACATATCAATGAGAATCTATACTCAACCTTGGGTATGGGTTAAATAGGAACAACAGGCTCTCTCTGCCCATCTCTGAAACCCTTTTCAGAGGTTCTTTAGCATGGATTCATCACATATGAATGACATTTAACAGTTGTAACTACTGTACCATTCCTTTTACACTCCTCTGACCACTAAAGCAGCAGCCCATCTGCCTTCCCCTATATGGAGCCCTGCATATGTTTTCAACTTCACCTCCCATCAGGACCAGCCAGCAGGACCAATGATAAAAAATCCTAGGAACGGTAGATTAATGCACTTGGAGGGCATCCCGTTGGAAAAGGCTAGCATAGGTTTTGGATTTGCTGAGCTTTGAGCAAAATACCTGCCCCTGCATCCTTTCAATGCAGGACTTTGTATAGCTGCAACAGTATTGGAAAACACAGTAAATATTCACAACGCCATACCATCGTCCAACTCCGCACCCGTGTCTCCATCTTCAAAAGCTTCTGCAGGCTCAGTGCCAACCTCATCGTCATAGTCATTCTCCTCACACAAGGCTGGAAGAAATTTGACAGGCAGATTAAAAAAGTGCTGGCAGGAAAGACATTAGATAGATCATGTTCTGAGGTAAGTTCAAGTTCTGAGGTGAAACTGTGTTCTGTTTGGAAAGGTCTTTCTAAACAGGTCTTCAGAAGACACACTAGGGTTCCAGAAACAGCAAAATCACATGATGCAGACCTTGCTGTATCACCTTAGATTAAATGTAGTGTGCTCTCCTCCCACCCCTGAACATAAAAACCTAGTATGTTGGGGAAAAGACTACACTAAAACAAAGAATTTTGCTTACTGGGTTTAAAAAGAGGAGCAAAACTGTGATTGTGCATATTGAAAGTGGTTCAGTCGAGTATAAGTTGCACCACATAATTCTAAGGATCATGTGAGCTCAGCTCATACAAGATGTTGCATAAACATACTCTCATTATCCCCAGCTGAGTCCGTTGTTTTGAAAAGTACTTTGTACCCAATGACGGGCAGTGGAAAAGAAGTGTGTTGCCTTTAAATTGCCTGGGTGCCTCCTTAGAAAATCATCTTTGAAAGACTATTACACAACAGTCACCTTATGTTGAACTCATTTTACTCTTTACAGCAACTTAAGGGCAGTTTCAAAGCACAGTTATCTATGGCAAATGGTTATCAAGCTTTGGCTGATCTAAATAGTCCAAAGCAAGAGTAAGTAGAGCTGAAACATAACATGTAAGAGACAAAAATATGGGGCATCAGATACTTAACTGCTGCAACACCTTGCAAATATACTTCCTCCTTGGTACACTCTTGAAAAACAGAACATTTGTTACTGCCTAAGGTATCATGTAACTTTCCTATGAATACCCTGTAAATATCATGGAGAATCAAGACACCAACATTGGTGACATATTTAACTGAAGACACAGATTAGCAACACAGTGGTGCAGACACATATTGAGGTGGGAAAAGATAGGTGTGTACTTATTCATAGTTATTGTACAGATATGCATTTATATACCATATGCAGTTAAAGATGAAGTGCAAAGGGATAAAAGCTGTCACACAGCAACTTGTGAGCTATGCGCTATGGTAGCCAGAAACTAACAGAGGCAACATTTTGTTCAGGTTGGTCAGCAGCCCCAACTGGATAAGGCAATATGCAGCTGTTCTGTAAGCTCTGCTGTCAGAAGCAAAAAGTTTTAAAATGCACTAACTACATCCATGCAAAACTCAAAATGTCAAGTCTCAAAGGATGAGTGTTCTACTGTATAAATTTAAGTGTACTACTTATAGCTACCCTGTTCTTGTGACAGGAGCTCAGTCTGTATAATAAAAGCAGGAAGAAAAGCAAAGTAGAGCTTCCATTATAATCCAGCTTTTGAATATAGGTAAGGAGCTTCTCTCATGATCCATACAACACCTGAGAAAAAGTATCTTTTAAGAAGAATTTGTTCCTTTAATAGGGAATCTGATGTGTTGATGGTGAGGCAGAATAGCCAACAAGCTTCATCTTTTGGAGACTTTAGAATTCTATCATGTTCCAAGATGTTTATAGTAATCATTCCCTTTTGTAGCGCACTTTTGACTTGACAGGCAGACTGGTGCCCTCCAGATATTTTGGACTACAAATTCCATAATCTGAACACTGACAATTGTGACTGGGATTGTGGGTTTTGTAATCCAAAATTACACAGAGAACCCACTTTAGGATATGTCTAGATCAGCTTTCTTGCCCTCACTGATCCTCAGGACTTTTCAATGCAAATACATTTCCTCTAAGAATTGGGGATACTTTTTTTTCTTAATAAAGAGCTTGCATAAATCCTAATAAATTCAACAAAATCAGAGAAAGGACACTGTGAGGTAATTGTTCTAAGGTTTTAGGATCTGTGAAGTGCCAGAAACAATCAGCAAACTGTGGCCCACGTTTGGTGAGAAATATTTTTTTCTTCTACTTATTTTATAGAGAAAAAAGCATTGGCTGGAGAGGAAAGGAAATGAGATGCTTTTGTCCAGACCAACAGTGGGAAAATTTGTTCTTCAGCATGAAAAAGAACCTGCAAGAAGTGGAATACTGAGGAAGAATAGATAATGGGATGTAGAGCAGTCTGTACAAGCTCCTCTCATGAACAGATCACCTGAAAGATTGCTGGCTTGGATGCACTCTCTGGGTAAAACTACACGCAATATTAAGGTCGCAAACCTGTACAAGTTTAGACAGAAAAAGGGCCTGCAACTCCTAGCATTCTGTCTATACTCGCAGAGGATGGCATCTTACATACATTATAGGAGTAAACCGAAACATAATTTTAAACAACTGCTGCCAAGAGGCTGCAGTAGGTGGAGACAATGGACTCTTTTCTCCTCTGCCCCAATCCTGACACAGCCAGCTTCCTCCCAAACCCTGGGGGCCATTTGTCAAAGGGGCATGCAGAGGAAGTACCAATGGCAGCTTCCTTTAGGAGGCAAATTGCAGCAGCAGTGTTGTTAGGACTATAACAGTGGAAGAAGGGATAAATGCTCTCCTGTACAGGCACACCAGAAGAGGACTCCTCCACAGCAGCAATTGTTTAAAGCTACAACAATCTTAAACACTCTGAACATGTAAAGGGCAATCCTAAGTATGTTTAGAGAGAGAAACAAGTCCTATACTACAGCATTCTGGCTGGGGAATGCTGGTGCTGAAGGGTGCTGCTTTGTTTTTTGGTTTAAGTATGCTTAGGATTCATGAAATCATAGAATGCTAGTGTTGGAAGGGGCCTAAAATGTGCCCTTAATGTAATGTTTCAGCAAGGCATCTTTCCTTGGTTTTCATTTCAACAGGAAACTTGGTTCGGTATGTCTGAGGGAAGCTCTTGGCTTTTCCCCCATCACTAAAGCATTTAACAGTAATGTAGAATGTCCCAAACTACCACTGCCCAATCCTTCATAGACAGAAGAAATTTTCAGAACTTCAAAAGCAGGGGCCATTGCAAACACAGTGCTTCCCAAGCACAGTCAGGGTGGCACCCTATCCAGCTTCTGTAAGATTTCCAGCCAGTTGCCTGGAACAACACGCAGTTTGTGCATGTACACATCATACCTATGAATGATAATAGTCTTGTGGCTGTGAAATGTAAATCCTTAATCCAGATTACACTTCTGCTGTGAATTGATCATGAAGCTAAAAGTGAGCAACTGCCTCTTATCCTCAGCCTCCGTATCAACCTGGGCAGGATGCTTGCAAGGATGAATGAAAGTGTGAAAGTCCCCTCTAATGGTGCAACCCTAGACTCACTTTCTTGGGAGTAAATCCCATTGTACTCAGTGGCACTTGCTTCTGAGCTGACACGCACAGGACTGCACTCTAAAGTGCTGAAAAATGAACAACAATGACGAAAATATCTGGGATAATGTGAGAAGCAAGAACCTTTCAAACATTACAGCACCTGCATGGCTTTCTTGCAGGAAGTATCCTGTTTAAATTGGCCCTATTTGTCAGAGTAATAAATGGAAGAACTGATTTCTGCTACAATTCGTTCACTCAGCACAGGAATCCTGTGCTTCTGTGTTTGCCCTGCCTCAGAGGAGATTAAGTCATGCAAGAACAAACCATCTCAGGGAGACATGCAGCCCCCTCCCTTCTTCCCTTCCCAAATCTGCATGCAGTAGCAACGAAGGCAGAGGTAGCCCAATGGTTAAAAGAGGGCCAGCAGCTGGGGCGCTGAAAACGCAGAGAGGTGGCAGCGCCAGCAGTGGCGGGCAGGGTTATTTGTGAGCTGTAAACAGAACATCACCAAAACTACCTCCTGGGACTGCATCCAGCCACGCCTGCACTGCCTCATGGCGTATGGAGGGAAGGTCTGATGCTGAATTAAAATAAAATAAAATGGTAATAAATTCCAGAACACACAAAACAGATACTTTGAAATGGAAACACCATAGAGGGAAATGTACCAAATACTTAAGAGGAGAAATAAAGACCCAGGAGACAATGAACAATGGAAAGACCAGACTCAGAAGCACCCTTGACACGGGCAGTGGCTGAGAGGAAGAAGCATGAATTCCTGAAGCTGCCAATACCAGCTGTAGTGGCATTTGGTACCCACCTGCAGATAAAAGTGTTGCAAAGAAGCCCTTTTCTGCATTTAGCAGATAAACCTTTGTCCGATGACACCATAGTGATATTACTGCAGTCTGCTCTTCTTTTTTCTCTACACCCAAATTAGGAAGACTCTGTTAAATATTTCCTCTTCCCACTAAGACTTGTGTTTGATCTGACGCCTCAGTTCTCACTCATTTATTTCATATCAGTACAGGAAGCTCTATACTGAATCTAGGGCTCAATGTCCTTATATCGAAGGCGCTCCAGCTCTTCGCCTCTTCTGCCAAACACGTCTGTTACAGACTCTGCTTTGTTATCACATTCATACTTGCATCTTAGAGGACCATTCCCTGTTCATTTAGGGCCTTTATAGCCATCAGGTCTTTTCCCTCATCCAGGGTAAAAACTGCTGTTGACAGTGATCTGGTTTCCAAGAAATTACTGCCCATGCAATCCGTAAATTATGGGTTATCGGGACTGTGTGCAAGGGAGAGAATGTACTGCTTCCCAACTGCTTGTCATTTCTGCTTTGCTAATCAACCCAGCAATGCCTCATTCTGGGATTGTGCTTCATGAAATCCAAAAAGTGAAACAACCCAGAATTTTAACAAAGCATGATTAAAACTCTGGGTTGTTTCCCCCTCATCAAGTCAGAGTTCTGTATGCACAAAGCACAATCCACAGATGGGGCATTCCTGAGTTATTACCTAACGTCGCACACAGCAGAAGTGGTTACGAGGCAGCACATTGGCTGGCTTCTGACTGCACATGATTTAAACAACCTTGTAGATAGTTATGTGCGAACTGGGTCTGTGAAAAGAATAATTCTGCAGGCAATTAACTTTCCTTAGTTGCTACTCCTTCCTCAGGTACTGGGGTCCCTTTTTACCCTGCTCTTGTATCTGTTATTTATGTGGCAATGCCAAGTTCTTTCTCTGTTGTATTAATAGAGGAATGAAAAAAGACTGGCGACCTGGGAAAACAGAGGATAAGGAAGGAAAAAAATTCTGAGAAGTAAAAGGTCTGCAGATGAAAAAGCTGAATTCTGTGTGAAGACAAAACAAACCAACAACCATCTCCTTCCATTACAAACCTCTCAAGCCCCAACATCTGCTGGAGTTCCAAAAGTATGTTTTTAGTGTTCTTAAAGAAAGAAACATCACATAGGTTGAACAACGGACCCACAGAATGACATTTCCTAGTCTCTGAGAAGTGTAAAGCACTAGAGCTCTTACACATCATCTACTCTATTTTACAGTATATTGGTATTGCAAACAGAGAACAACAGTACAAGTTAGTATGAAGTACAGGGAAGACAAGACATTGCAAATGATTTGGAGAAAATCAATGGACAAGTGGATCAAAAGGCTCTGGAGATCTTGGCTGCTTTGGAGAAAAACCAGAATAATTTTTCCCTCCAGCAACCAAATACTATTATTTGAATTCTATGAACTCAATAGTTCCCTAAAACTGAAACTCATAAGGAATATGTGTGCAATTCTCTGCTACAGAAAAGCTGTGTTATTGTACTAAACAATGCTTTTCTGGGAAGCCCTTGAGGAACAGAGACCTGGGATAGTATATTTTTCAGTTGCTCCAGAAGTTGATACATTTGGGCTTTTGCTGTGGCCTGCAAGAACGGGCAAGGGCATAGTATCCCAACAGCAGATGTACTTTTCATGACACACCCAAGACTGTCAGAGGAAAAGTGAAATGATATTGTCTCTTTCAAGTTAAGGAAGTCCCCTGAGGGTGCTATGTCTGAAGCCCCCACAAAATCCTGCACAGGACAAGGAACATTAAGCAACACCTGTTCTCCAAAACCAGGATGCCCACTGCCTACCCATTCTTTCCCAGTCCTGTACCCTGGAGATGTGTTGGACTACCCCTCCTGCCAAGTCCAGCCAGCATGCTGCTGGCTAGAGTTGTAGTCTAACACATTCGGAGAGCACCAGGTTGGCTGAGGCAGCCCTGCACATTCCCTATCTGCTTTTCTAAACCTCCTGGGAAAATGGTTTCAGAGCTGCTATAAGCACAATCCATTTTCTACAGAAAACCTCCCCTACAGCTTAAGAAAAACCAGTTTTCTTATAATTTTAAATCCTTGAGTTCTGTTCTTAGGCATGTCAGTGAACTTCACATACCATTCTGCAGACATTCAAAACTACCATACTGAAGGCTTTGCAGTGGAAAGGTACAAATATTTTAAATAAATTAAAATAAAATAGATTTTTTTTTCTTTAAGACATATACCATATACCCACCTCTTTCAGGTTCCGTTCATTTAGGGGTTCACATCATGTAGTTCTTATGTTTTTAATCTTTTTTTGCCCCTAATCTTTGAATCCTTACAAATTGGCAGCATGTGTCTTGAACTTTGCCAGTCCCCCTCACCTTCAACTGAACCAAAACCCCCAGAATTGCAAGTGAGGTCTCAACAGTGCCAAGTAAAGATGCGCAATTACTTCCAAGGTCTTTCATATCATCCCTCTGTTAATCCTCCTGTGCCTTTTTAGGGCTGCCTGCCCCAGTCCTTAGGGCCTTGCTCACTTCAGTCTTGCATCAGCCTTCACACAAGCTCTCACCATTACAGCTAGTCCTGTGTGTTAACACCAAAACATTTAAGGCCAACCCACAGCATCATCTTCTACTATAACTCAGGTATGCACAGTAGCAGCTGTCCAGAATTTTGATCCTGGCTCTGTACTGTCTCCATCTCAAGAAACCAGAAACAGCACTAATGAATCCTGTTCTCCTGACACCTTCTGTGCTCTGGGCTTGGCATGTTATAGTAACAGGTTCTGAGGGCTGTACAAAATCACACTGCAGGCTACTGATTGGCTATCCTAGGCTATTAGACCTTTGTCAATCACCTCCTCCCCCAAATAAAGTTGAACAGTGCTTTGATAGAAACTGTATTTGTCAGAAAAACAGCTTCCAAAGTTATTTGGAAAAAGGCTGGGAGACTCCAAGTAAGTTGGTGTTACTTGCTTTCAGACCAGATTGGGCATTCACACTGCTCAAGATAACAACTGTACAAGTCAATGAATTTAAGAGTAAAATAAGACTTGTGGGCCTATCAGGTTACATATTCAGATCTCTTTCCCTCTGCCAAGCATATTCTGACATGTATCATGGGCATCAGATTGCATGAATGAGAGCCAGTGTGGTGTAGTGGTTAAGAGCATGGGACTGGGACTCAGACAATCTGGGTGACTTTGGGCCAGTCACAGACTCTCAGCCCAACCTAACTCACAGGTTGTTGTTGTTGTGGGGATAAGATGGAGGAGGAGAACGATGTAAGCTGCCTTGAGCCCTTTAAGGAAAAAGGCAGGATATAAATCGATAGATTAAAATAATAATAATAAAAATGAATAACCAGAGGTATAAGTTCTGTTTTCTGTTGGCCTCTATAACCAGTGACCAATGGAGACCACTCTGAAATCAACACCACTAAAAGTGATGTTATAACACTCTCAGGAAGGTGAATTGGCCTTTCTGGAGATGCATTCAATAGGAATCAAATGCCCTTGTGATGTAAAGGGTCAACACAGGGGACACGTTTACCTCTGGAGCTGGAGGACTTAGAAGCAGGGCCCACTTTTTCCTCCTCCTCTTTCTGACGGATGTGTGTCCAATGCACATCTGCCAAGATCTCCAGGGGATCAATCGGATTTACTATCTGCTGCAGCCTCAGGTTTCCAGCTGGCAGATAAGAGACCAGAGGTAGATCATGTTGATGGAGTGGTAAAGGAGAACCGGGAGGAAAAGAGAGGGAAGGAAGAGGGGCACACACCATAGGAAAGGAAATGCAGGGAAAGAAAAAAAATGAAAGAAGTTATCTGCTGAGATCAGATCAGAGAAGACAGGTAAAGTTCAGCATCATGCATGCAAATATGTGTTCTCACTTTCTTACTTTCACTCACACACACGGATTGCAGTTTATAAATTCCACTCCATGCCCAACATTCTTCAGTGATGCACAATTACTTGAGGATTCATCATCACTATATTTTGCTTTTAAGTATTTCTAGGGCAATAAACCACATTCTGCAATAACTTGTGATTACTTTGCAGTTTCACACAAAATTGTACTTTTTAGCATCATTTTCAGGATATGAACACCACTTATAATGAAAACTACTTCTGTGTTCTTTTTCTTCTGTATACAGGATATTTCAAAGAGGAGCAGCAAAACAGCTGCCTATTACATGCATCTTAATCAACAGAAGGACCAAAGGAAACCAAATAATTACAATCAGTTTTGTTCTACTTTTCATACCACAATATTACTTCTATTCCAGGAAGCACCTTTCCAATTTGACCCAAAGTATAAAACTGAATTGCAGCTGGGAAGAAATGGATGCAGCAGTGAATGAAGGATCCTGGATTTCAGGCTGACACATGTTGCACCCTGTGCTACTAGTCCTTGGGTAAGTAGAGTTAGTGTTTACATCACAAAGCTTTATGAGTTAGAAAGGTGAGTTTTAATCAGCAAGAACTGAGAGTGCAAGGAAATATTAAAACAGAAACTTAGCAAGGCTCCCAAAGAGCAGGCCTCACCTGGTCATCAGAAATTGTAGCTCTTTATTCTGGGGGGATTTGACATACCCCACCACCCCCAAATTTTATTTGATGAATAAGAGACTATTGCTTGCACAAAAATGGTGATGGAGTTTTTATTTTGGGTGGGGGGGAGACACAGTGAAGTTTAAGTACAGGTGGCTAATTGGGCTAATTAACAGAAATCAGATTAACACAGTCACTGCTACTGTGTTCTGTTAACCATTGATACAATAACTGTTGCAATTAAATATAAAGTACCCCTGCCTCAAATATGTCTCAGAATGCTGTGCATACTGCTAAGCACATACAAAGCCATAAGTTTCATAGAACTTGTAAGAGATTCAAACAAAAGGGGTAGTAAGCCAAAGAACAGGGCAGGAACTGCCAGTATTTGCATAACAAAAACTTGTATTCTTACATTATATGGCATAATAAAAAGAAAAAAAGGAACAGTAACTTATGGGTTCTTGTAGCTGTAGAAATCACTGAAACAAAAATGGCAAGTCACATTGTGGAACAAAAAAGTTTTGCTGTAAGAGTCAAGAAGGTATAAAAACATGTGCCACTTTGCTCTGTAATCCTCTAGGGTTAGAAAAATGAGGTGTCCCGGCATGATTTTGATGGCTGGAATGTGTTTAGAATGGGCAGCAATGTTGAGCTGGGTAGAAAAAACTGCTCAAGGAAGGCTTTTTCAAAATCACATTATTTTAATTGCCCCAGCAGCTGAGCAGCGGATTACAGGGGCCCTGCACATGCTTGGAAAGGAGTAGCAGCACCATGCAATGACTTCACGAGCCATGACTCATTAGCTGTGACTTGTCCGCGCTTTCGCCTGGCCATTCAGTGCTCTGCCAAGGATATATATATATTTGCTTGGACTGGCTTTGAGGTGTTTTTTCTATACTAAAACCTCAGTTTTCAGGTTTTATTGTAGTGTTGGCACTTTGCGATAAATAAGTGGGTTTTGGGTTGCAGTTTGGTCTCTGAAAGGTTTGTCATCACTGCCCTAGTGCTTCACCAGTTTGACCTCTTCCCAGATAAGCAAAACAAGAATAGGAACAGAAGCATGGCAGCAGCAGCCATTCTTGAGCCATTAATGCAGCTGTTCACCAGAAGCTTTTAATCCAACACAGTTCATTTTGTATATTTGGTGCAAGAAAGCAGAAACAAACAGAAGCTGAGCTGTTAATTTACCGGCAGGCATTTGTTCTTGATCTGGGAGTTAGCAGCTGAGTTAAAATACAAGTAACTTGGTAAGTGAGGCATTTTAACAATATGTGATTTCACGTGAGACCTGCTTTTTGTAAAACGGTACTTCCTCCTCCCCCCCTTTCCGTAGGGGAAGTGTTGATGGCGTGAGGGTACCTTTAAATGTACCCGTGTCCTCTTCATTTGAGAGACGTTGAAGCCAGAGGCCTTGTTGCAGTTCTCTCTCCCAAGGGTAATACTCTCCCTCTACAGCAGGGGGAGTCACACACCAGCAAATAGCATTGATACAGAAAGAAGTGAAGGAAAGAAAGAGGACAGAAAATCAGAAAGAACACAGCGATGGTTTTGCAGCCTTCTCAACCAGATGCTCTCCAGATATTTTGGCTGACAATTTCTACTATCCTCTTGTAAGGATGATGAGAACTGCAGTTAAAACATCTGGAAAGCCCCAAATTGGGGAAGGCTGGTTTGGGGAAACCCAGAAGGCTCATTGGCTTCACCTAGCAAAGATTTCAGATTTCACTTTCATGTAGGAAAATGCATGTACACGGTCCAATTCCATTGTGTGTGCATGCTGCAAAAACCTTCTATCAATTGTTATTGGTATTTTCCCCAGCATGACAGACAAACATATGTGATAGCATATACGGAGTAACAAATAAGTAATGCCTATCTAGCAAATTTTGATGGCTAGAAGATTGCCCTCAGTTCCATGGCATGCATCTTATCCTTCTGACATGCAAAAAAATTTAGTGGACTTCAGAACTGTAAATCTACTCTGCACAGAAGCTACCAAATCATCTACCTTCAAGCTGTAGCTTTCCAATATCCATATGGAAAAATACTGTGTAATCCAACAGCACAGCCCTTACTCAGTTTCATTGAGCAGCATAATTACAGCTGCTGTAACTAATCCATGCCCCTATTATTAGATCCCTTGATCACTGTTGCCTTTAATTGGTCAATATCTGTTATTGAAAAGGCACTTTATACCTAAGCAAATCTTGCCAGAGACACAGGAATTCTCTGGTAAGCAAGATCTGTTTTGAAAACTTAATCACTTATTTGGATTGTACACTTTAAAAGACAGCTATGTCTGAAATGAAGCTGTTGCAAGTGCCCAAATGCTGTTTTAAAAATGGTGGGTACATAAGCAAAGGTGCCATTTTGTCCTTTTCTTTGTCAACAAAACAAAGGAAGCCAAGATGCTTACACTCAGCTGGAAGATTCTATAGCTTCCCAAACTTTCCAATGACTGCTAACTCCTTCCCTTGGAAATATGCTTGCTTCTTCTGTCTAACACAAGGGTGAAATGCTATGTATATTTATAAAGAAAAAAGTACTGCATTTTTTTTCTGTCTAAACATGCCCAGGATCGCAGCCTTAAGTAGTTAATACTGCAACATCCTCCCTGACTGTCAGCATGAGTATCTTCTCATAATATTTGCAAGCTAAACTGCTTATTTCCCTACTATCACAGGTAGTAACCAAAGATGCAAGAGCAGAACTTTAGAGAACCAAACCAAAGGATTCTTTGGGCCTGGAGGAAAACGCATATGTTTATCTTCAACCAATTTTTTCCTGCTATTTGTAGTTTTTGGCTCTTACACTTGGCTCCTAGTTCTCCACCATGGTGGACAATATAAATGCTCCCAAGTGAAATTCACTCCAGATCTGGGCATTCAATCAACATAAATTACAGATCTGGTTGTTTATACCGAAAACAGCTGTCCTATCTTTTCAACCCCAGCCTCCTTGCCTGTTCCTCAATCCTACTTCTGAATTGCTTCCTTAACCTTTGGATCAAGCTCCCATTAGTTCTGAGTTAGCAATGCCCAGAACGGGATTCATCTCTGCCATCATGTGGAAGACACAGTTGGATTATTGATCTAGCATAGTATTGTCTACAATACGACTGGCAGCAACTTGTCAGGCTTTCAGACAAGAGTCTTGCTTAGACTTGGAATTGCGGGGAATGAAACTGGAACCTGTCTGCTGGCTAAACATGTGTTTTACCACTAACCCTGGCTGCTCCTTGGAGCAATATTTTCCTGCTTTCCTTGTTCCTGAAATTATGATTCTGCCTTAAATCTTAGTGCAACATACTCATTCACAGACATATAGATGCATGAATACTGCAGACCCAAAAGCAGATTTTGCAGGTGAAAACAAGAAAGAGGATAATAGACAGCTTAGAGAAATACAACCCAAGGAACTGCTGGCATGATAAAGACCACAACTTTTAGTGTTATTGCTTCTTTGAAAGGTTTTTCATCTCACCTTTCAGCAGTCCATATGCATTGGCCTCCTCAAAGTTCCCAAATACAAGATAGATTCTATAAAGGAAGCCACAGCCTTGAATTTACAAGGGCTAAACAGGGCTGTCAAGGACAGGCCATTCTGGAGGGTATTCATTTATAAAGTTGTCATAAGTCAGATGACAGCATGTAACAACAACAAAGTCCACAGCTTTTCTATCAATTTCCAGGTTTTCCACAAAAAGAGAAGCATCTTAGATCTATCATATGACTTATTCTGTATGATGGTGATCCATGATCGACATGTACATCAGTAGCCACAGCAAGCAAGAAAGAACGAAAATTAAAACTATTTGCAACTAACCTTCACTAGAGGCTTCCTCCTCCTCTCCATCATCGTCCTCTTCCTCCTCCTCCTCCTCCTCCTCCTCCTCTTCATTGGCATGGTTTTGTTCAGCTTCCAGCTCCTCCTCACTCTTGCCCTTCAGCATAGCATGTATCCGCACAGCCTCTTTCCAGGGCACACCACCCAGATCAGAAGAAGGTTGCTGTGGCTGCTCTTCCTCCTCCTCCTCTTCCTCCTCCATCTCAGATTCTGAACTACTGCAGGGGGAAATAGACAAGCTGATGGTGCTTTTAAAATAAATGTGGTCAAGGAAGAACAAAGGTTAACTTGCTGATTTTCTGAGTATCATCTGTTCTGACTGGATGCAGCTCTCCCATGCCTCAAGTGAAGTTTTTCATATTGCTTGTTACTTGAAGTGAAGATACCAAACACTAAGTCAGTGACCTTCTACATGTAAAGCATATTGTCTACCACTGAATGATGATCCCTTACTACTTTTTCCCATTTCGCTGGATTTTCAGAAGTAAAGTAGCTGAAGCTAATTGGACCGTGTACCCCAACAGATGACAGGACATGTGCATGTACTGCACCTGACAAGGAGGATGTGGGACATGGTCCTACTCTCTTACAACACTGACTCTGGCATTATGGAACACAAAGCCAGTCACCCACTGACCTGGTAGATTAACTAAATTTAAAGTAAGGGCTTTACTTTCCAATGAAAACCATGAGTTCCCGTGGCAGTTGCCAAGTTCCTGACACTAGTAGAATGGACTAGAAAACAGCAAAGCATTTGAAGGCTTGACTTGTTAGTTGCAATGTAAGGTAAGCTAGAAAGGGGGTGGGACTTCTACATTTGAGGATACCTATTTTAAAGGCTGTATTTTTCTTGAGTTTATATCAGTAAGTACTTTTATTTATTAAGTAAACGTTAGATTCAAATTCTATTTTCTTTCCTAATTCCAAAGATGTAGATTATATAATAAAGACAAGAGAGAGCGCACGCACACAAACACTAATTTTTTTGGGAAAACGAAAAATATTTTTTCCCAGAGATATTCAAGTTTTTTTCCCTGAAAAACAGAATGGCTTTAGATTATGAAACATTTTCTTTTAGAATGGTTAATTAAATTCTTAAAACAAAGTGTTCCCTGCCTTTGTTTCACCCCAATGCTTTCTAAAAATAATTTAATAAAACTTTATCAAAGGACTAGAGAAGTAAAATTTCTGGAAATAAGGAAGTCATAAAGGAATATATTCTCTCTGCAAGATTCCCAGCAAAGTAGTTTCTTCTGTTTCTTGTTAAAATGATTGATCTAATGTATCTGTTACTGATAGACATTTAGAGATGTCTCAAGACATGCCTGGTTTCCCAACATATGATGAGAATTATAATATGGAACAAATTGTACATTCTTGGTTGTATCAAGCCCTATGTTTCTGAGCTTGTTCTTATTAGATGATGCAGCAGTCAATATAGTTCTACTCTAAAAATCATGTGTGCCAGAAGCACTATATATTAGCCCATATTCCAACTCCAGGTAATTCCACTGCTACCAGTTATGTGTGGTAACCTGTGTTTCTTTTTAAAAATTAACTTTGATGCTGAGGTTGATGGAACTGACATCCAAATGTTTAATAATGGTATCAATTAGACTTCACTGTTAGAGAAGACTGCTTCACCTGTAAATACTTCAACTGCCATCATTAGAAAGTTATCCACAGAGAGAACTGCCCTGGTTCCCTTACCAGCTCAAAATTACCTTGCCCAGGCTGTTTTTTCACCTTAAAAGGGGCAGAATGGATGAGATTTCTGTAGTCCCCATCCCATGAGTAAGATACTAGCTTACGGAAAACAATGCTGAGGTGAGGAATAGCTAGAACCTCTCCCACACATTCATTCAAACACACCTGCATAAAGGGGATGGCAAACTATTAGTCCTTCTGGCTAATACCTTTTAGCTGTATAGCAACTGAAACACTTTTCCCATTGCTTTAGCTTATTTAATTTTGTCCTCAACAAAAAACCTATGAAACAGATAGAGTTGACAACTGGCTCAAAATCACCAGGTGAGCTTCATGGCTGAGCAGGGACTAGAACCTGGATCTCCTGAGTTCCAGTCCAACACTCAACACTGTGCCACACTGGCTTTTTTACAGTTGCAAGAAAGTTTTGGGATTGTAATATCACTAACAAAAATTGCTTGGCTATCTCTTGGCAAAGTAGTGTGGAAACAGATTCTTCATGATTGTCTTTTTTAACAAGCCTGCTAAGGGAAATTTACTATATGTATAGTATAGGAATTTTATCTAGACATAAAATAATTACGTTTTTCTGAACTTCCAAGAATGTGGCTTTTAAAATATTTGGGTAAACACAGCAACACAGATTTTATTTTAGTATACTGATAGTGAGAGATAGTGAGCCCTCAAAGAGGAATGTTGGCTATGCTTTGCAGCAAGACAGGGAAAATCAGTTTTATATTTTCTGTCTCTTAAAAATAGCATGCAGCTCCCTCCCAGAGCACAGAATGCTGGCTCAAACTACACAAGTGGAACTGTTTTATTCTTTTCCCTTGTGTTTTTGTTTTAAACCAAGCAACCTGGTGCAGACAATATTGGAGTGGAAGAAAGGTACGGTAAAGATGCTTAACTCTTTCCCTTCCTGTCATTCTTTAATTCCTCCCCAAGCTTCTTTTTCACTCAGACTGGGATACCACATCTTTTCCCCATGAGTGAAAAAGCTTAACATGACCAAATGGGAAATATTCAATTAAGACTCCTCCTGAGTACCTTTCTGTCCAGAAACAGTGTGACTCAGGTTGCTGGGTTTTAAAGAAAGGGCTCTATCTTGAATGGGTAATTTAGAGGCATCATCTGTAGAAAAGGCCTGCATACTGCAGGTGAAAACTCCTAGAACTATGAATCAACACAGCTGCCTACAATTCTGCAGTCTCCCTGGCAATGTGGTAATGGGGACTGTCATAGTGAATAACCTACCTGTACCTCAGAATTTATTGCTATGCTGTTGGTGTTAAAATTCTGATGTTGCACTCTAAAGACTTTGTGTGCTGAATTAATAATTGGTTCTAATCCAGCACCTGAGCTCAGTCTTGTCAATATGGCTACACACACACACACACGTGCTGTATAAACATATATGGCTATATAAATAAAATTAATCACTACAACTTTCACAGGATTAAAATAATGATTGCAAGTTGTAAAGTCTCTCTGAGGGGCAAAATATTTATCCTGCCACAGGTTCTTGAGTCAGTAAAGGCAGGGGATAGATTTAACTCTTACAACAGACTGAAGTGTACTCTCCTTTTTATTTTTTATTTTTTTTTTGCTTTCATAAGCAAACCTCTAGGGGAAAGCGCAGGAAAGAAGACACCTTTGCAAAGCCTATTTCCTACCCTAACTTAATCTCCACTGATAGTGTCTCCAAAGGTGGAATTCTATAGGCGCGCGCTCTCTCTGGGTCTTACATTTCAATGTCACAACAACTAGCAGTGTACAAGTTATTTGTAAGAAACATCCAGGCATTCTCCTTGGTGTAGATTTTGGTGTGGGCTACAGCAAACATGCTACAAGTTCTGTTAAAGTCAGAGGGGAAAAAGGTTTATACAAATAAAATCACCTGCTGGGCACATCCTCTTCTGTTCCTTTGTCTAGCACGCTGCTTAGGTTATGCTCTGCCAAGGTCTCCTCTGGAACTTCTTCCAATTCCTCTTCCCGCTGTACTGAGAGCCGGTAATTCTCCAATTCAATCCGCTCTGGTGTACCACGCAATCTCTTGGCAAGACTGGGTTCCTCTAGGCCATTTACATTGGGAGCTGGAGAAGAATTAAAGGCAAAGCCCCCCGAAAGTATTATGATTGTTTATCCAAAATGTGCAAGCAAGTTTTGAAGTAGTACCACCAAAACAGTGCCTTTCATTATTTCTATCAAGGTGCTAAACTTGGTCCTGGTTGATTCTTACTGGTGTTTGTCCATGTCAAATTATGATTAAAAATAGGGTTGAAAGACAAGGGAAATATTGCTTTGTGGAAACAGAGCTAGGAAAATTACCATTTCTGGTAAATGCCTTACCTTAAATCCACACAAATGGCAACTAGAAGAGGTCTAAAGGAAAAACTACACACATTGCCCACTGAGGGGGCTGAACAGACTATATTACTTTTTGATCACTCAGGTAGATTAAACATTGCCTACGAGTAGAAAGCTGAACAAAAAAATGTTTTTTGTTGTGCTCGTTTTTTGTTGTGCTCGAATGTGTTTTCATTTTGTTTTTAACATGGGGAAGCATTAAAAAGGTCGGCATTTCCCACCTGAACCGATACAGTCCACTCTACCACCTCATTCTGTTGCATGTGCAAATCCAGCCTAAGTAGATTAGCACCATAAACAGAACACCATGTTCCTTGGTTCTGGGTTTAAAAAAACAAGACAGGACTGTTATTCCCAGTTCTGCTTGTGGAATCATCAACATAAATTAGAAACCCTGTTCCATTCATGAAACCAACTGAATCTTAGGTTTAGCCACCTGGATTATGAATACAACAGGTTGATGAAAGCATAGCAATAACTCCTTCAAGATAAATAGTGATGATAATGCTAGTTACAAACACAGGGAGCCAGACCATTTCATCCCACAGTATTTTATTTTGTCTATATTTACCATCCATTTAAAACAAAACACTGCTTAATCAACTACATTTGTTAATAGGCTATATATGTTTTGCTGTGAAACCATCTTTCCTTTTCTTTTTCATCTTGCAGACCTTGCTTCACCATTCTTTCCAGCATATTTCTGTCTCTTCCCCATGAATTTTCAGGTTTTGTATTTTTAAAGGTCTCTTTTACTTTAGACATGCAAACAACTAGGTGTGGTATGTTAATCAAACTGTTCAAGTTTAGTCATAAATTTGTTTTTTTTTAATTATCCTTAGTTCTAATTAATACATCTACTTCTGAGGCTACAATCTTATATTCCCTGATTAGGGAGTAAATCCCATCAACTGAGAGGTCTTTTGAAACCCAATGGGAATTGCTTCCAAATATAAATCCATACAAGTTTTGTGCAATGTACCTTTAAGGCCTCATCACCACCACCAAGATCTTGGCTACAAACCAGGTGGTTATAATGTGATCTGTTCTCTCTTGCAACTCACTGGAAACTCCTTTCTGTCCTCCACCCCTCTTCCATGACTATTTAGGACTTTCTTTTAGCAGTCAACAATAAGATGACAAAGCACAGCCTTTTTGACCTCCACTTTTAAGCTGCTGCATATTGGATTTATAATTTTGTCTGATATTTTTATATACTGTGTATATTTCTGCTTTTTGTACACTACCTTGGACTATTAGAGCAGCAGTATGAAACCCAAAAGGAATCAATCAATAATTGCCTTAGCCAAACAATGTGAAAACTGTCCCCAGTGAGGAGTTTTAGAACCAGAGGACTTGGCCTAGAAAGGTGATTTATCTAGGTTTAAACAGCTAAAGGAAACTTAACTTTCCAAAGTAATGAAGGGAAAAAAAAGCTGGGAATGAACCTAGACTCCTGCATTCTTTTTTGTGGGGGAATTATCTGTGTGATATTTCTAAACAGGCTGCAGTGTAAATGAATTCACTTTCTTACTAATGATGGATCCTAAACAACTTATTTTACTTTCCCCTTCCTAACCATGACGTATCTTCCTAGTATAACATTCAGGGTTTAATCAAAAGAGCACAAAGGCACTAGCGTGTGCTATGAGTAAGAATTTGGTGATGTTTTTCAGCATTTGCAAAACCCTACTACACTGCAGTGACCTGACTGCAATTATAAGAGCCCATAAAAATAGGTGCTGGCAGATCATGTATTTACTGGAGTATTTTTACCATTCTGGGAAGAAGAGATTATGATCCCCAATTTAAGACATTCATAGCATGGAAATGAATTATTTTAAAAACAAATTGAATAAACTGAACTGTTTATAATTAGATAATTTAGTTCTTTTATGTCAACATCTGGTTAAATACTTCATTGGCTTTCAAAAATATGGTAACAGGATTGATAAGGTGGGCTAGTCTGTATGTCCAAGCATATAATTTAGGGAAACAATTTTCTGTAGACATGTTAATGATTTCATTTTGTAATCTGTGAATTGCATTTTGATATTTTACTTATAAAAAGATATTATTCAAGTGCCTTTGTTATCACAAAAGACATATGTGGCAAGTTACACATTGTTTAAATTTTACATCAATTTTCAAATAATGAGCTATGCAGATTTATTTTAGAGGATGTCTGTGACTGAAGAATGGGATACACTGGGGAGGCTACTGCTCATGGTAGAATACATTGCTTGCAGAAGAGCCTAGCTTCAATACAGTTAAAAAGACAACTGGAAGAGTCAGAACAGTCTCTGCCAGTTATAGCAGACTACCCTTGGCAGGATATACCAATGGTCTAAGATAGTGTTATATGTTCATATTATAAACAAACTAATAAAGATCTACCTCTACCAGAGAAGTTGCTTTGTACCCTAAGCAGTTCCAATTCCCTGTCTTTACAATGGTTACAGCAGTGATCTACATGTCAGGGCTGTTGTGATAGCCAAGTTCCTTTCCCTGTTATTGGTTTTCTATTTCATACGAATGCATAGAGTCACAGTAATATTACTGCCTGCATAAAGTTATATAATGTATTCTAGTGTTGATTATTAAAGTCAAAAGATACAGTACCAATACAGCATATGCCTCTGTTAAAAGTTCTGTTATCCTGTAATCTTAACCATTTTACTAGTAAAAATGCTAACTGGTGGTCACACATCTTTTAAAAAGATAGCCTTAATGACCAAAGGGAGCTGTTTTCCCAAGTGGGTAGTCTGCTTGAACATTATGTGAAAGCTGTCAGAGGGGTATTCCATTCCATGACAAAACCAACTTCTTGCTAAAAGGAATGCCAAGGAAACAGATAACATCACTTGTCTGACATGTCCTTTGACATTTTGCCTTACGTGGAATATTCTCTAGATAGTCATTTTTTGTGGATTTTGATTTCAACTAACTCTTGCAACTCCCTGAAGTCACTCACCATCTTCTATCACAACTTTCACAGAACAAGCCAAAGATTGCCTGGATGGTGGCTTCCCATGCAGCCATATCTGCAGGGAAGGTAGGAATTATTCAACTAATATTATTTCTACAGGGTGTATGGAGGATTAGCAGCATGTGAAGCTCTGCACATAATATCAAGAAGCATTTATACAGTGCTTTAGTGTCCCAAGTGTCCAGGATGTAAAGCAGGAATAGACAGCATATAGACCTGCATCTATTGATAGACCTTTGGATATGTGCAGCAGATTAGCAACTATTTCTGATTGGCACATTAATAGCAGCAGCAGTCAAATAGCTCCTACCTGCCCAACATTAGGGAATGGGAAAGAGACCAGGACTCAGGCAGGTGTACATGTAGTTTCAGAGGTGCAAGCATGAACAGGGCAGGTAGAGTGTCTCTCAGAAAGGGGCTGTGCCATCCTCACTGTCCATACTAAGGTTGGGCCTCAGAGCTTGCATGTACACCTTCTCTCATTTACCCCATGGTGGCAGCAGGTTGCCTGCTTAGCCTTACAATGCAAGGCCAGTCACATTCTTTAAAGAAATTTTTTATGCTTAAGTGGACTCCGAGGGAGGGTGGAGGACAGGAAAGCCTGGAGGAATGTTGTCCATGGAGTCGCGATGGCTCAGACATGACTAACAACAAAAATGGCTGGACAAAAGAACAGGCAACACAGCTTCAGAAAGTACAGTACACTATTCCACAATAGCCATACTTGGGCACCAGTAGAATGGTGAAATTTTTCTAATTACATCATACAGCTTTGCAAATACCAAGGTTTGGTCTGGATGCCAGGAAGCAGTTCCTGTCAGTTAGGACCCCTAGGGTATGGAATGGGCTTCCATGGGAGGTGGTTCAGGCCCCAGCAGCGAGGGTGTTCAAGGATAGGCTGGACATGCACATGGTAGGCATGTCATGAGTGAAGCTGGCTGAAGCCAGGAGTCAGACTAGATCGCCTGGGAGGCCCCTTCTGACTTGTTGTTTCTCTGTTTCCATGCATGATTTAATCAATTTGTGCTAGTCATAAAGGAAAAAGAGAAATGCAAGATGCTAGAGCCCCACCACCCTGATCATAGGGTACAGAGTTACCTCTGGTTTCTGCTATTTTATAGGCCATGTAAAATTTCCATATCCTTGGAAAACTAAATTGGTCTGTTTTAAACATAAGCTGAAATTAACATAAAATGGAATATTCACTTAAACAACAATTGCATTTGTGAGGTAGAGTCACAGAGTGCCCACATCCTAGTTCAAGATTACAAGGGTGCAAGCAAGTGGGATGGGTGAGAATGTCCCCCCTTCTCTGGGCAATTAATTCACTTCATCAATGACAAAAGATTGTTTCCTGAGTCCTTGCTTTTGAGACACCTCCTTAACTAAGTATTGTCAGTTCCTTCTCACATAGGGACTGAGTGCGGTCCATAGGATGAGGCCACAGCAAAACTGGGAGGGGCCGCAGTGCCTTGCACGAGAATGTTCTTTGTTCAGTCTCTGGCATCTATAGTTTAAGGAATTTAAGGTGACTGCATTTGCCTCTGCTGTTGCCAGTCAGAGCAGGTCATAGTTAGCAAGACCAATTATCTGATTTAATCTAAGATAGTTTCATATATTCCTAAATTATATCCAGGTAATTCCAGCCAGAACATGTTCCTTTCAAATTATTGGCTTCAACTGGTGTCACAACTAATTGCTTGAACTTGGGTAGCTGCCAAAATGATCAATGACTGT